AGCAAAGCGATAGTTGCACTAGGAGTAGTAGGAGCAGAGCAGTAGTAGCAACAGCAGTAGCAGTGGCAGTAGCAGCAACAGTCGCAGGTGCGGTCGCAGTCGCAGTAGCAGTTGCAGTAGAGTAGCAGTCGTTGTCGCAGTAGTAGCAGCAGCAGCAGCAGGAGCAGTAGCAGTAGCAGCAGCAGCAGCAGCAGGAGGAGGAGGAGGAGGAGGAGCAGTAGCAATAGCAGTAGCAGTCGCAGTAGCGGCGAAGCAGCAGGAGCAGGAGCAGGAGCAGGAGCAGGAGCAGGAGCAGGAGCAGGAGCAGGAGCAGGAGCAGGAGCAGTAGCAGTAGCAGTCGCAGTAGCGGCGAAGCAGGAGCAGGAGCAGGAGCAGGAGTAGTAAGCGCCGGCGCGTTGCCGCAGAGCCAGCGTCCTGTCCCCGCAAAATCTTCTCAGACGCCCATCTCGGCAAGGCGAAGGAAGTCTTGGACTTTTGCTGCCGTCGGCACTGTCCACTGCTGTCATCTGCTTCAACCATTCTGGAGTTTGTCTGAATTGCTCACCCGCTACCGGTACCAGTGCTGCTGCCGCTGCCGCTAGCACTAGTACCACTGCTGCCAGCTTATGCCTGTACGTCATTATTCCCCCCAACCCCAACAAAACGAAAGCAAAAAGTAGGTACAGCCATCGTCCAAGTGGGAACAGGACGTTATCATGGTCCGGACATGGATGCTCTGCGGCAGCGCAGGGTTGGTGGGGTGATGAGCCCTCTTGCAAAAGACAGAGACCTCGTCGCCAAAGCAGACTCAGCTTGAGGCTTGAAGATTCGATGTGCAAGAACCCACACGAAACGCACATTCCTAGCACAGGCGAAGCATGTGGGAACAAAGCACGAACCCCCTTTGCCGACCTCAAGACTGCTTTGCGCAGCAGCACAAAGCACTGCAAAACCGTTGCTTCCTGCCAGTTGAGCAACATCGAAAAGCACAAATTAACGACATTCGGGACCGCGTCCATCTCCGCGAACAGCACAAAACGCAAAAATTGGCTCTCACACAAGTAGTTGGGGCAACATTCTCCTCATGCTTCTGACAACGAATTCTGGTTACAGCTGTTCCGGCACCCGTCCACAAGCGGTGCCTAGTAGTAGTGGTGGTGGTGGTGGTGGTGGTGGTGGTGGTGGTGGTGGTGGTAGTAGTAGTAGTAGTAGTAGAAGTAGAGGAAGTGTAGAAGTAGAGGTAGAGGTGCAGGTGCAGGTGGAGGTAGAAGCAGCAGCTGCAGCAGCAGAGAAGAATAATATAGTTCAAGCGAGCCACAACTCGCACACTGGTGAGTTGTCCCTCCCATCTTCCGATTCCTGGCCAAGGCACTAGGCCCGGCCCGGCCAATTGACTTTGCGCTGTCTGCTGTCTGCCTGCCTTCTTTAAAGCTTTGGAGCTTTCGGGCATCTCGGGTGGTCGACTTTAGGGTTTAGAGTGTTTAGCCACGAGCAGGCTAGGGATGTGCCGCTCGAGATAAACTTCGGAGTGAGATGGGTTGGTGGAGTTTCTGTGAGAGCAAGGATGTTCAGGGAACAGCAAGCTGGGTCTATGCCCGCAACATGATATCTGGGACAGGCTCCTCAGCTCCAGAGATTCTTCTTTCTACTGTGGAGTGCCTTGGCTTCCTTGTTTGTCCTGATCCGGACGGTCGTCGTTCCTGTCACATGGCCGGCCTCCCGAATCCAACGCCTCTCAGTGAAAGCATCGCAAAGGCTCTGCAGCAATCGATTCTTCTCGGGCAGCCTTGGTCCACAAACAGTTGTGGGAAGCGCATCCTTCAACCTGTTCTGTGTCTTGGCTCTGCAAGCTCAGCATAATCAGTCAGTCGTGTCTTCTGGTGGTGGTGGTGGTGGTGGTCATCGTCCTCGTAAGGAGGCGAAGCAACAGGCCCTGGGTCAACTCGTAGAGTCGTAGAGTGTCGTAGAGAATGTGGCAGGGATCCTGCCCAGCAGGTCGTGCCCGCAGCGACGTCAGAACGGGCTCTGGGGTTTGCCTTGCCTCTGAACCTCGAGCCTCCTAGGCATCTCGTCCGTGTGCATCTCGGCGCTGGCGCCCGGGGAGGTGCGACGCGTCGAGAAGTATCCAGTCTTCTGTTTCACGTGCGCCGCATCGGTGATGGCCTACGTGTGACCTGGAGAGCATTTGGGTACAACTTGAAGGTTCGTGGAGTGTTTGCTACTAGCACTTTGCTCTAGAGCACCTGAAACCTTTCGAACGGTGATGGCGCGGTGGATATTGCAGTTTTGGCGAACTCAGGTGGATGCTGGTTGTGCTGGCTGGAATTACACCTGACTGTGTGGATCTTGCTGAAGGACGGCGGGCTGTCTTCGGGGTTCTAGCCTTGTGATGTGCTCGGAAGGCAAAGAAAGGAAGACTCCATTGCCAATATTTCAATATCCAGTCCTGCCGCCCTGCCAGGAGTCGTTACCTTGCTCTTCTTCTTCGTGTTCTTAGGCATCGCCTTCATTCTGGACAAGTACTTCTCCAAGAGTGGGGTCGATGCTGACGTGGCAGAGGTGCACAGACAGCTTCCTGGCCAGCAGAGTCAGAGTATGATGCAGTCAAGGCCGCCAAGACGAGGGGGTGGGGTGTTGAGTCGTGTCTGAAAGCGCCGTCAGGCTAGAAGCACGATTCGGTCAGGCTGTTTCTCTCGAAGGACGGAAGCATGCACTTTGCAGGTGCTTCTCAATTCCGAGCCCTTGAGCAAGCCTACATATGCCAGTCCCATATGCGAGCATGCAGCAGTTATCGACGACCCTGGCACAAGAGTTCCGTCGTCTGCACCAGTCAAGCTCGTGTTCTGAGCTCGCTGCGCAGGAGTTCAAGCGATGATGAAAACGCAGGCGAAAAAACAACCGATCGAGCCTCGAAACACCAAGAACGAAGCCAAAGGCGGGCACATTTTTGATGTAGGTTTTGCTGGTTTTTGTCTTCGCTCGAGCTCCGTGTGCTCGGTTGATGCAATCTGGCAGGCCAAATCTTACGACTTTCCACTGGTGGTAAGAAGCAGCCGATCCTGTGTACATATGGCTTCGTAGACTCGGAGGCACAGGGCGACGAGATATACCTTCCGTGTGCAAGCAGAGTCTTCGCTTGGGCTTTGTAGCGACAGCGCGACCTCGCTTCTTCGGCGAGTCGCAACATAGCCCAGATCGCAGATCTGCGGGCGTCATGTTCAACAATCTGTCGCTGGTGCAGGTAGTTTTCCACGAGGGTGATGGCTGTGCCAGCCTGCAGATAGCAGCCTTCAACGGTCCACATCCAGCACCGGCAGGATGCTTACCTATCGCAACATCGTTGGAGCGTGTGAGATTCTGCTAGACGTCGCGCAAGCTTCATGTACAATCTGGGACATGCCCTGATTCTAGAAAGGTCCGCATCAAGTATCGCACCCGAAATGGGATGGCGAAGGCAGGAAAGCGGCCACGAAGCTGAATTGAACGTGAAGCGCACAAACTTCAAACGGGAAACTTGGGTACTTCAAGGATCGTTATGCAATGCCGGCTCAGGTATCACCAGAAATCCGGCGTGTTGCATTTCCTGCCCGAGGAGGAGAAACAGGAATTGAGGACGCCTGGATTCGCAGAGACCGTCGCAAAAGCCAGCTGAGTCGAGTTGACAATCCGGCCACAAGGATACCTCTTATGATGGCAAAAGGCCCTCCTGAGGAATTCTATGTGGAGCTCACCGAGCCTCCTGGCGCAGAGTTTCGCGCGCTCAGAGCTCACCAAGCCATCACAGCCGAGGATCAAAGCCGAAGGACTCGAAGGCAAGAAGAACCCGCCGGTTATAACACAATGTGGCAGCTGTCAGAGACTTAGACCCCGCCCCTGCGACGGGCCATGGGATTGACAGCACCACCACTGCTTTTGTGAGGTTTGGTTTGGGTCCTTTCATCCCCAGAGGCCGCCCAGATGGAAGTTGCATGCGTGAATTGTGCTTTGTTCGAAACGGAGCCCACTCAGCCCACGACCAAGGAGGGGGGCAGCGGCCGCTTGGTTTCTTGAGCATCGTGTCCGTACCTCCGCGGATACTTGTCGCTGTCGCACCTCGTGCCATTCAGGAAGTGAGCATGCTGGTCACGCTGGTCACACCGCGGTTGTTCTTTCTCCGACTAGTGATGCAGGCCCGGCCATTTTTCGGCTTGCTCCAGGGTTTTCGTGAGCCAGCTGTTTCAATGGCGGAGTGCTGCCCTTCAGGTCGGGACTCCCGGAGAATGCAGCACCTGGCGGCTGTGCCGAGTGTGATGCCAAGTTTTGCAAGTATCATCTCGTCTAGTCCAGCCTGGGTGGGCTCATTCGGCATGGCAGTGAACGCCAAAGTCTGCCTAAGGTGAAAACGAACCCGACACTTCCAGGGCGTTATCGGAGATCCGATCAGAAATCAAGTCGGAGGCAAAATCCGACGCCAGATCAGACGCCAGATCAGATGCACAAGGCAGGATCCGACATCGTGAGGGCCGGGGTTCAGCCACAGCTGTGTGATTTCGTCGCATGGGCATGCGAATGATGCTAGTCGTGCTTACAATGCTAGCAGGACCCGAGGAAGAGGACGAGCCTTTCAGCTTCTCGCATTGGACGGACAAGGTGGGTCGATGCTGAAACCTGCAGGCAAGTCTTAAGTCTTAAGCATTGATTCGCAGGCAGTGGAAGCTTTCTTCTGCAACGGCAGTGCCGAAGAGCATCCTGACAAAAAAAGACACGCTCTCGTTTGCTTTCGTTTTACCAGTACTTCAGCTGATGCTGCAGGGCAGGCTGAAAGCAGAGCACCCCCGAAAGATTCAGCATCTCCAGACTCGAATCGTGGAAAGAAAGCTGCATGAGTGTGGCATCCTAAGGCAGGCACAGGCTACGGCTTTCGACTGGCTGATGCACTGTTTGGCACTAACCTGGAAGACGGCTTTTCTGATCGCCATCCTGCTGCAGACAGAGTCATTCGGTGTTCCTTTTCTTATGCGGAAGAGATCCTGGTGCTAGTTGATTTGCGAATATGCTCGTCTGGCCGGACTGACTCGAGACGTCCCCGCTGCAGTGCGCTCTTCCGGTCTGTTCGGTCGAGGTCCCTCCGCCGTCGCTGCTGGGCGCCTACCCGGCCTTCTTCTGCTCTCTCCTCGGCATCGGCTTGGTCACCGTGGCCCGGAGCCGAGCCGACAGAGAACAGAGGAGAGCATCGTTGCGGTTTCCTCTCCTTGCGTCTCCTCTCTCCTTGCGTCCTCTTTCCTGGGAGGTCATCAACGATGCAGCGAGTCTCTTGGGTTGCTCCATAGGCTCCGACGGTCTTCCGACACCCTGTCGAGACTTCCCAGCGGTACCGTTCTGTGATTGCATTTGCGTCTGCAGGGATGGCAGATGACCTAACTGCAATCACATTAGTTGCGCTTGGGACCAGCTTGCCGGAGCCTGGGCGGCAGATTGCACACCCGCCGCCCCATTCTATGTTTTGACAGAAATCGGAGCCTGAGTTGCATCAGAGGACACCATGGCGTCCAGAACTGCCGCCAAGTCGGACGACACTGCTGACAACTCCATCGGCAACATCACTGGCAGCATTTTGGCTGCAGTACTCTTCAGATGTCCATCTCGCTCAGAATACAACACCCAGGGATGTGGCAGGGCAGGGGCCAGGGGCATACAAGAATAAGAAGGTGCGCAATTCGAAAGAATAGCGACAGACCTGAACAATCCAGGCAATGCGGTGAATGTGCTGCTGGGTATGGGCATCAGCTGGACGATCGGCGCTGCCTATTGGGCGCACAACGGAGTCACGGAAGATCCTCGGCTTGCGATGAGTGCAGAGGTCCCGCAAGCAGTCTTCTGCTTGGGGCTTCACTCTTCAGGGCAGAATGGCAAAGTAACGCAGGGCTGGGACGAGCCGGCTTGATGTCGAAGGGTTAGGTAGTACGCACAGAACTGGCTGGATGAACAACAAACATTATGGGACAGTGAAGCCACGCTCGGTTAGTAATTAAGATGAGCGCTAGAGCAGCGTTTTGAGCAAGGTTGACAGGTCTGACTGGCTGCCGGGATTACTGCTGTTGGGAGTAACCGTGCGAGTAAGACCCAGAGTGTTACGAAAACTGGTGTTTTCCGCAAACTTTAGGGCTCCCCGGCATATACATGTGCGCGGCAGGGCGACACTTCCGGCTTGCTGCGCGACAAGTGTTATCGTGACATCCGGCTCGCTGGTTGTAGCATCAAAAAGCCTGCTCGTCTCACAGTAGGAATCTAGCCGTATGCTGTCAATGTAGTCTCCGGCCACATCTTCAAGCATCAATTCTGGGGCCTATACGGTGATTCAGCATTGAAGCAGGTAGCTGTTGTAATGGGACTCCTGGTGACCTAGTGTTGTGTTCTTCGCTAAAAACCTTCATGGTGTTTTAATACAGTGACAGCTCAAGAAGACACAAGCAAATCTGCAGTTGCCATCATGGGCGGTGCAGCTGCTTCTGCAAAATTTAGGGGCACGAGAAAAAGGTAACAGCAGCAGAGCAACATTGACCAAGCCACTGGTAGCATCAAGAACATTCCAAGAAAAGGCGCCAGCATGCGCCAGCAACATTGATGAAATTCGCGTTCTCATGAAGGTGAGCAATGTCCAGTAGTCTGAATCGGTTTTACTGCACGATCTGCTGATCAATACGAATTGAATTAGAAGCACTGGCACTGGTGCAAGTTTTTTCGACAGCTAAAAAATGGTCAGCATCAAGACTGACAGGAGTAGTTTTTTACACTATTCAGAAAATGAGCAACATCAACTGTCTTATCATGAAGGTTATGACTAGCATGGTCACAGAAGTACACAGAACAGCTTGAACTATACTGTCGCGGAAGTGCCATGAAGAGATGATAGCCGCCGAAAGGCGGTAGGTTGGCAAAGCATGGCAAAGGAGGGGGCCAGGAGGATACAGTGCCTGGAGCTTCCCACGTCACGTGGGGGACTGATGGATTGCTCCCGGCTGCTCGAGGTCTTGCCGGGCGACGCAAGCCCCACATCCCCACATCCCATCCGAAAAGAAGCCCGGTCTCAGGAGTGGAGGGGACATCAAACAACGGCTGGCAACTATGAAACGCACGGCTCTCGGAGTTTTTTCTGCCTGTAGCTGTAGCTGTTGACGCCACCGTCCTTTTGAAGGCATTCGGGGCAAGGGTCGGTTGTACTTCCGGGCTTGCCATCCCATCCAGAATTGCCTTCGCATCATACCTGCGTTGAAGAGCAGCAGGCCTTTTGAGGGCACTTATTGGGAAAGTCTGTGAGCTCAGGCTCTATCTGGGGAGCAACCCCGAGGGCGGCTTCATTGTAGTGGCAGGCACATGTGCCACACAAGGATCTAGTCAAAGTAAGAGGCAATGCCGTGCAAGAGCATCAGCCAACCGAGATGCGCATCCAATCCTGCGTCTGAGCCTCTTACCCGTTGCAGTGCTGTGCACAGGAGCGATCTCTTTCTCTGTCTCAGCCTTCGCAGTGCTTGCGATGCTCTGTGTGGCACTGCCGCTTGCTTGATCTTGGTGCACTTGGGTCTCGGGTGGTCTCTCTGGTTGGCTGGAATTCGCGATGCCACAGAATGGAACACATAGGAGAAGCCAGAATAACTTGATATCTCGGATTGAAAGCTCATTCGGAGTGTGATCGGCTTCTCCGCGCAGTGTGTGCAGTGCGGTCGCGTGCTGTGCACATTTCTGTACCTCGCACGAGGCTGTACATGCGACGGGTCACTTATGGCGGAGAGCTGGGGGGGCCCTTACTGGCGCAGAGGACGCTCGATTAGCTGACCGCCTGTCATCCTTGCAGCTTGATGTTGCAAGCGGATGGTCGACGCTGGCAACTCCAATTGAGGGTTTGCACCATGAGAACGACTAATGTACCAAAACCACTGGCAGGAGAGACAGCTTCCTTTGCTTCCTCTTGTGGATTATGCAGCCCGACAGCATTTATCCATGCTAAAGGAATCTGAGTCATGAGTCAGGCCCGAACAGGGCCCCTCATCCATTATGCAGGTTTATTGCCGCGAACATCGTGTGACTGGGCTGCACTGGGTCTGCCCTCAATTCGAGGGCGGATGCTTTGGGAGCAGATGCCTGTCAGGTTTAGCCTCGTCTACTGAGAAATTGGCTGTTTCTTGCTGGGCGTTGAAGCCTGCAACGGGATGCTTCGAGGGGGCATCCAGCATGCACCGCCCAATTGGGCAAGCTGCATGAAGAGCAGAACAAGCGGATGTTGTCAATATCACAAAGTGTACTTTGATGTTATATGTATCATCGATGGTATGCGGCGCTGCACAGTGCCGACGGTCCGGTGTGCTAACCCGAGCAGCTGTCACCGCCTGATAGCTTGCGGAGTCTTTTACCTGGCGTTTCAGCTCGCCTGGCGCACGCTGGTCTCAATTTTTGCCAGGTCGTGGCATTGTTCTGTGACTTTACAGACCGAGGGAAGAGATAGCGTCCATGGTGGAGCTGGGAACCGTGGTTTAAGGATCACAGAGGTGCGCTGACATGGTGAGGAAGTCCAACTTCCATCGAAGCTCAGCGGTGACCAGCTTCCAACGGCTTCCAGCCAAAGGCTGAGGTCTTCTGGACTTTGTGTGTGCAAGATTCCACCATCCTGCAGCATCATCCGGTAAGCTAGAAACATAGTGTCTTGGAATTTGATATTTCTGATTTCATTAGCTTTAGCTGACATCGATGTTTGCAGGATCTGTCCGCATGACATGTGAATCATTCTTAAGCCTTGATGGATTTCACCACAAGCTCCGGCAACTTGTCGCTTTCAGCTTTCTGTCCCGTATTTTCACATCCAACAGAAAGACTTCGGCCGGGTCTGGATATAGGCCTCTCCAGTTGACTTCGCAACCGCGCAACGCGGTTCCGTCGCTGGAGAGTTCTACACCCCGCATATGACAGAAAGTTGTCACCAAAACCGCAAGTTATTTCTTTCGGCGCTCAGGCAAAAGGTTCCGGGAAGCCGTGCCAGAAGGATGTCGGAGTGTCAGATGCCAGAGAGATGTCAGTGCCGTTCAGCGCCTGTCCCCTTGCGCCAGCATCTTCGAGAAAGAGAGGGAGCAGCTCCTAAGCTACGATGGGCATGCGTTTCTGTACTTCGCCGCGAGCTGAGTTGCGCTTTGATGTCTCCCCTCCCTCCCTTCTCTCCCCATCCCCCCGTCTGCTTCGAAAGCACTCCGCATGCGCTGAGCCTAAGGCGCTGTGCATGCTCACGGCATCCTGCTGAGATTGAGATTGGCGCAAGGGCACAGCCAGGGAGACATCACGGGTAGATCCGGCTACGATGGCAGCTCGTCGCTGAGGTCATTCTGTTGCCGTGGACATGGTATCTCACCCGATGCCTACTGTTCCCGAGGCACCGGCCGTAGGATCTTAAGAAACCTTCGAACCTTTTCAAGGGTCGCTGGGCCTCTGACGCTTCGCTTTGAGAGGCCGCCCCCCGAGCTTGACTTCGAGACTGGTGGCCTGAAAAGCGAGGACCACAGTCGCAGACCTTTGTTGCTTACTTTTTGGACATGCTTTTATCTTTTCCCTAATTCTAGGATGTTTGCTTGCTGGAGTCGACTCAGCGCAACCAACCATGAGAACGAGAGCGAACGCGCGTGTGCTTGTGCGCATGTCCGGCATTCTGAGCCACGCATGGGCATAGCTGGTCTCCACGTCAAAACGCTTTGGTCCACTCGAAGATATTCCACAAGGTTTCCGGCTTCAATGGAGTCGAGTTTGAGCTCTCGGGACACATAGCCAGCCAGGAGACCTCGCCGCATCTGATGCTCGCTCAAGTTCTCATCTTTCTTGTGAGACCGAATCCGATGCACAGCGCGTGCCCGTCGCGAACCGGCGTGCGGCCCTGCAAGCGCCACACGCAGCAACTGTGATACATGGTAGTGTTTGTTAGAGTCGTGGGCCACATGAACATGTGATGTTACCTAGGGGGTGCTTAAGCCAGTCCTAGAAACCAGTAGGGAGTCGGGGGCAAGCTGCAGCAACACGAACTAGGTTCCTGGAAGTGAGTGTCGGTGTGAGTGTTTGTTGTGACTGTGCGGGGCTGCCCTTCGAAGTAGACTGAGTCCATAGCCCACCTGTCGAGCCAGTACATCGAGAGTTGCTTCTAGTTACGGGTTTCTGCGCCAGGGCCTCAGCATGTCATGCCTGTTGTGTGGGTTTGGCTGGCTCTGAGTGCAGTGGGGGACCGCCTTTCGTTTTTCAGCACAGCAGCCCTGCCCAAGTGGTGGGGGAGCAGGCGACCGGAAACAGACCGGTGCTTTTCTGCGTAAACACAGTGCTGTGCGAGAGCATGGAGAAGAGGTGCGATGCCGGGGGTTTATAGTGTTCTAACATGGTGGGGGGATGAACGGGTCAGGCCAGCGCAAATGCGCGCGCGGGGGAGGGTCACGCCTTTCCTTGGCTGAGTGCAAGCAAGAGAGAGAGAGAGAGAGAGAGAGAGACAGACAGACAGAGAGAGAGAGAGAGAGAGAGAGAGAGAGAGTGAAGCGAAGCGAAGCGAAGCGAAGCGAAGAGAGAGTTCTACCCAGTGGTCATTCATATAGTGTACTTCCACAGTGTATATGCAGTGGTGAAACCTTGTGTTCAAACGCCTGTAGCCTAGCCTTTCGCACTTAATACAATGCGTCCAGCCAACAACGGGCTGCCCCCAGCGGGGGGTTCACCCCTCAAGCCTGGTGAAAGAAAGAGAGAGAGAGAGAGAGAGAGAGAGAGAGAGACCGTAGCCATTTTGGCTCAAGTGCTGCACCTTTGCTTGGAGGCCTGTGCCGCCTCCTTGCATCGGGGGGGAGGTGCGGGGTTAACCCAAGGCTGTCCACCTTGGGGGAGCCTGCGCACTTGCCCCACGCGGTGCTTCAGTCACGTACCCGACGCCGTGTTGCTTAAGAGAGTGCCGCTAGTTCAGGGGACGCGTGCCATAAAGCTCAACGGCACGATCGTGACACTTTCCGCACGCAGACAAGCTGGTTACTGCAAGACCTTCTTCTTGGACGCTCTAAGGTTGGAGGGGGACAGGAACTGCACCAACGACAGTGGGGACGCCGCCGCCAAGGGTCGCGGGAACTACCTCTACGTTGGGCGGGGGACTGCTTCAACTGGAAGATCGTGACTGTGGCAAGGCCGAGAAGATAGTGAAGATCATGGAGAAACGTGGGGGAGGCAAAAAGATCTGCAGAATCTGCAGAGAAGGTGGAGGGATTTGTCGGCCAGGCATGCGAAAGGTACATGAGCGATCTGACTCCCAATGTCGTTTCTTCGGATCGGAAGCGTTGGGGAACACACGCTTGGTGTTGTCCCACGACAGAGCCGCAACAAGCCAGCCACAGCAGAACGACGGGGGAAGCGGCAGACGTACACAGGTACCCTTCGAGCACATGACGGCCTACATGGCTCCTGGGGGGATTGCCCTACACTACCTCCCAGGACCGCTCGATAAATGGGCGAAGCAAGACGTGTTTAGAAACCCAGATGGAGGGGGATGGTGCCACAGCCCCTCAGGGCAGCCCCTAACAAGAGGGGAGAACGATGAGTACGAGCAGTTCTACAAGAGGCACCAGGCCAGATGCCGCACAGCCCAGCAAGCCGACAAGCTGGCGAAAATAGCAGACAAATATCTCCCAGAGGTCGCCCAGGAAACGCGTGCCTACATGATCCGCTTCCCGGGGGCGATCAAAAGCCTTTTGCGTCAGGCCCGCCGCATACGCCGTTCGATCAAGGCGCGGCAAAAAAAGTCCTCACCACGCGGGAGTGCCTCGACAAGACCAGCCAGAAGAAGACGGCCGAGGCAACCAGAGGACCCAGCAGATGCGAGAAGGGAGGGGACGACAAGCAAGGGCCCGAGCACCAAGCCGGAGGATGCGAGAAAGGAGGGGACGTCAAGCAAAGCCTCGAGCACCACAGCAAGGACCGCAGATGCAGCACAAGACCGAGCACCACCACAACAGCCACAAGACCAAGCACCACCACAACAGCCAGAGCTCAGCGAAGAAGTGGACTGGGGGAATACGGAAGATGAGGACAGCAGCACCGGGGAGGGGGCAGGAAGCTCAAGCGAGCTGCCCCAGGTACCAGGGTGGCACAAGCCCAACGAACCGGAAGGCGAGCCACCGTGGAGAATGATGCCACAACCCACCCATGAAGAACCAGCCGGGGGAGAAGCCAGCTCCATCGCGGCCGGACGGGAAAGACCCAGAACGCCAAGCCGCAGCCCGAGGAGGACAGTGAGACTACAGCCAGGTCCGATGTGGGAAGCAGTACGGCAAGTCCAGGCACACATGAGAGGAGAAGGCGCACCGTGACCTACAAGCAATGAGCGAGGGGAGTTTTCCGTTTGTTTTCGAACACGTGACGCAGCTTGTGTTCTCCAAAAAAAGGGGAACCTACGTGTTCGAGCCCAGTGCCAGAGGGGAGAGGAGGGACGCTGGTTTTTGTGGGGTGTTGTGCTTTGGTTTCGGCGGTTTCAGATGCCCTCCTCTTTCCCTAGTGTGCCCTGCTGCGAGCCCCGCCCCACTTCGTGGGGGATCTTTTGCAAAACCAACCCTGCCGGGGGAATGCACGTGCTCTGTACCATACGTGTTACATACCACAATCTTTCAGCCACCTTTGCCAACATGGCAGATTCATTCCGTCCCTTTGCAATTCGCTGCAACGCCGTCACTTGTGACGAAGTCTGATCCGCCTCTTTGCCACAATTCAACGCTCCCTCCTACTTCGAGCCGGGGGGAGCTGCAATTCGACCGGCACTTTTCAGGCCTCCCCGAACCAGCTCACAACTAAGGATGTAGCCGTAGGGGCGCGGTGATGAGGCGGGGGTTGTGTCGTGTTTAGAGTTCGGGGGGTTTTCCTGTTTACATCTCGGGGCCTATTTTGTTTTTCCTTGCCTAATCTGGACTACCCCAAAGCCGTCCACTCACTAATACAGTGTGGGGGACGGGCGGGCGCAACGCCTGAAGGTCGGCCAACCGACCCTTAAGCCCGGCAGAAAGAAAGAGAGAGAGAGAGAGAGGGCAAGAAGAGAAAGAGAGAGAGAGAGAAAGTCCAGAACCGTCGGTCTCTACAAGTGAAAGGGTCGAGGAATTTCCACATCCTGCAGCTCGCGAAGGTGAACCCGTTACTGAGGAGACCGCGGGGGAACAACTTTACGCCAGCGTCCTGCAAGACATCAGCGATGAAGCGGACCAGACCACCAACACCGAGAACGAGAAGACAGCCAGAGCGGGGGAAGAGTACGCCAAGAAGCTCCGTGAAGAAAAAGAGAAACACTTCATAGTCAGGGGGAAAAGTGGCTCCCACCAGGCGAGAAGCCTCCGGGTTACCAAACCCAGCCGCACGGCCAAAGAGGATGCAGGGTCCACCACGGGGGGCGTCCCCCAGTCAGTCCGCCGGGGGGACCTCGAGCATCGCCCAGACGGTCATGCGAGTGGCCAAAGAAGCAGATGCAGCACTGGGGGAAGCGGAACCTGCCGCATCCAGCAGACGACATCTTGCCGGAGCTGCACCGGAAAAGCCACCATTCAAGCGCAAGAAGCAGGGAGGGAAGTGAGAGGTTTAGGGCAGCCATCCCAAAGGGATACCACAGCTGGGGCAGGCACGGCGGAAAGTAGCCTTACGTTTTGCGGGGGAAGTTTACTTGGTCGTAGTTCGTCGTTGTTTGTGTCGATGCCAGGACCTCAGCCTTTCACTGATTTGTGCGCATGTTTAAAGCTGTGAGCATGCCTGCATTGGGGGAGTAGGCAGACTTTGTGTTGGACGTGCAGTGTAGTTTACCTGAAGTTGTTGAGCCTTTGGGGGAGAAGTCTACAACCCGTGGTTGCAAGTTGGAGTCAACTGATTCCTCGCACAGTCCGCCCGCTGAAAAAGACGGCGGGGGACGACCTTCAACGCTTTCGTACAGCCGAGCCCTTCCGCGGTAATTAACAAATTCGGGGGGGAGCAAGTCCCGCCAAGTGCTGCGGGTGTGCGGACCACACGGGGAAGAGGCCTGAACGCTGCGTCTTCCTCCTACCCGGAAGAGAGAGAGAGAGAGAGAGTCCAGACCAGAGCCTCAGTCGAAGCCGAGCAGTCTCACAGAGAACCTTCAGACCGGTGCGCGCACGTGCGCGGGGGTCTAGGCCCCTTGTCCGAGTGCATGCAAGCAAGCAAGAAAGGCAATCTTGGAATAGCTTGTTTTAAGGACCATGCTTGCTGCAGTCATGTGTGCAAAGTTCCAGCCGCCAAAGCCAGTAGCCAAGTCGAAGCCGGGCAGGTCTCAGGTACTAGCTCTGTCAATGCAAGTATCGTGCCGCGGTCCTGAGTTGTGTTGCCTACAGCGAGCCTCTGCTCGTAGTAGTACGAAAGAGCCTCCACGGTGCTGGACATGTGCCGGGATCCAGAGTTGAACCCAAAGCACTTGTCACGGTTGTGATTGTTGACGTGCGAGGGGCGAGGCACCTCTGAGTGCACTGTGGAACAGCCACGGGGCATCAGCCAGCAAACCAGGGGTGAGCCAGGTCACAGTACAGTACGGAGTATTGACTAGTTCTGCTGCGTTCGTGTGCAACAGTGTACGGCTCACCGTGGTGTTCTCGTGCCCGAGCTTTTTGTCGCACGTGAAACCGTGCAGCCAGCCAACAACGGGCTGCTCCCCCGGGGGCATGCCCTCAAGCATGGGGAATGACGGAGAAATAAGAGAGAGACAGAGCGAGAGAGAGAAAGAGAGAGAGAGAGAGAGAGAGAGAGCGCGGACCTTGCTCCCCAATTGTGGGGGCGCTGAGCGCCAGGGCAGAGAGTTGCTCCCTCTGCCTTCACCCTCGTGAAAGAAAGAGAGAGAGAGAGAGAGAGAGAAAGAGCCTGATGTTGTTCTTGTTGTTTCGCCGAAAACGGGGAACCCCCGCCAGCACACTATCGCTCCACCCCTTCCACAACGGTCGGGGGCGCACTCGCGCGCGGGGTGGGGTGCAAGCCCTGCCCCGTTACCCTGGCGAAAGAAAGAGAGAAAGAGGCCAATTGAAAAGCACGTCACTCTTTGCAAACCTTGAAGCTTCTCGGGTCTGACTGGCAGCATTGTCGGAGGCTCAGATCGTCTGGAAATCTTGCGTATGCCGACCAACAACATCATTGGAGATATCGGTAACGGTGGAGTGTGTCATCCTTGTGGACATGGAGCCCGAGATTTTGCTAATCCTTTTGAGAAGGGAGCCTGATAGATACAGGCATTGGACTGTTGGCTTGTTTGTCATCATTTTTGCAGTCGCGACATGAGCTGACGATGCAACCGTGACCCAAAAAGCGACGGAACGAGGGAGCCCCGCCACGAGGAAGGAAGAGAGCAAAGAGGAGCGAAGTGGTGCCAGGACAGCAGGGTGAAGCTTTGCGGAACCTCCCTCATGCAGGCGCAAGGGCGCATCGAGGATGTTGAACAGGGTTACACTGCGCCCGAACTCATTCGATGCTCCATGCCTTATCCAGAGCTGATCCTGAGAGCTGCGACAGGCTCGCCGACACAACGCGCAGCAGATTGCCAAACGGCGGAGGCCCGCTGATTCCTCCAAGGCTTTTCTGCCGTTGACACGGCTGAGGCTTTCAGGGCTAATGATGGATGCCTTGGGGAATGTTTGGCCTGAACATGCCTAGTGGTCAGGTTCCGTGGTATCATCAAAGTGCAGCTGGTCGGCGCGGCCATTGGATGGCCTGCCTAGTTCGCTTCAGCAGTTGCCGGCACATCCATCTGTAAGCAAGCATGAGCTGCAGCACCTGCAGACGGAGTTTACGACATCAGTCTGTTTGCACACAGGTTGAGCCAAGCCAGCCCGAAGATAGTTGGGATCGATTCCGATCCTCTCCTGAAGAAGCTCTTGAGCCTCTTTTCCATCGGCTCAAAAGGAGCCCACAGAAATATGAGTATCGTAGGGTTCTCGACTCTTGCCTCGGAGCCTTTGTAGATGCAGGACGTTTTTGCTGTCCAAACATGCGATGCTTTGCCGATGCTCCCATGATATGCCAGGGCATTTCTCTTCTGGGTGCTCTGGGAGCTGAAGGCACGACGGTCTGACGCCTCGTGCAAGGAAAAATGCAGCCATGCCCGAGTGCGGCATCGCAGGAGAGTCAAGATCAGCACCAGCCTATCTCTAATTCTGCAACGGAAGCCTCCTACGGGTATCAGCACTAACTCAGTAACCGCAGCCGCTCGTCCTTGTTACCCCTCTATGCTCTTGTGCTCACAGTGCTCTGACGCAGGGCGCACCCACCGAGCTGCGAACTTTCGACCCCTACGACATCCTGGGGGCTCCCCGTCTCCAGTCATAGGGCTTCTCACTTTCGCTCTCAAAATCTCCTTCAGTCTTTTCCTTCTGCTGAGGGTTCTCGGAGCTATCTGATCGCCTGTTCTTGACAATGAGAGTTGAAGGTCCAGCGTGGAGCAGAGCTGCGAGAGATCAAGAAGGCTTGGGGCTTGGGCCGCATAGCCTTGTCGCTAGAGGGCTGCGGCCAGTTGAGTTGCAGCTGGAGGCCTACCACACGAAGTCTCTGCAGCATCATCCAGACAAGGAGCGTCGTGAAAGATGGAGTGCCTAACTGAATGCTGTGCTCGTGTGTGACGCTCGGCACAGTCTTGCTGCAAGTGCTGTCTTGGAAAGGACAAAGACAATCCCTTAGCGCCGGTTCTCTTCCAGCAGGCAACTTGCCGATTAAAGTGGTCTCGCGAAGTGCATGCAGGTTAGGTCAACGTGGAGAAAGCATAGAATGAGCGCTTGCAATCGTGCAGGTCTCAAAGGCTTATGCAGCCCTGACAGATGATGCTGCACGGAAGAACTACGAGAAGTGCCTCCTGTTGGCGCGGTTGGGTATCCAGTTCATATCGGTCTTGTCTCTCAGTTCTGTTCTAGACCAGATCGCAGCTCACTCCATGAGTTCAATCGAGCATGTTGTCTATTATGCAGCAAAGTCGTCAACTAGTTCCTCGTAATTACAACGAACTCAATCATGACCCCATATGTGTAGAGAGCTACAAAGTGGCACCCTCCCAGTTCATGTGTGCGCTGGTTGCCGAAATTCCAGCTCGCAGGAAATGCTGTAGGCTTCTAGGACATCGCATAGTGTTTGAGCTGGCAGCGTGGGTAACAGGCCGATTGCTTCCCGGGCCGTCTGAGCAAAGTCGACCGTGCAACATACCTCTCGCGCTAGCGGTCGACGAACGGTCGTACTTCACCTGGCCAGGGTGCAATGCTCGCTCTTTCAGCGGTGTGTGTCTCTGTGACCGTTGTCGTTGGCCTCGTGGCCATTGCACTGCAAATGGACCTGGACAGGCCTTTCTTAGCACCACTGGTCTCAACACTTGTTCCGCTGGGAGTGAAGAGGAACTCGAAGAAGCCAATTGTCGGCGACCGCACGTTGGTCACAGACCTTGAACAGCTCGTTGTCGTGATGACTGGTACAGGTACACCGGTTGCAGACCCTGATCGTGCAGCACAGGGTATATCGGTCTTTGCAAGCGGAGAGTATTTGCTTTTCGACACAGGCCCGGGTGTGGCAGAGAACATGGCTGCACAGGGCATGCCGAGGGGTGCTCTGACCCATGTCTTCTTCACCCACTACCACTCCGACCACATTGGCGATTTCGGTGAAGTGATGACCACGTCCTGGGTTTTTGGAAGGACTCAAACCTTGCAAACCCATGGACCGGAAGGCTTGAAAAGGGTTGTGGGTGGATTTGCTCAAGCCTACGGTCCTGACATGGTCTACCGTCGAGCACACCACACTGCAGCACTGATGCCCACCGATAATTGGATGCCGAGCATGAACGAGTTCACCCTACCGGACGCTGATATGAACATGACATCATCTGATCCGGCACCCCTGTTTGATGTGTACTCGAAAGGGGACTTGAAGGTCCAGGCATTTCGTGCACATCATGAGCCGGTAATTCCCGCGGTGGGCTACAAGGTGTCATACAAAGGCCGCTCGGTGGTTATTGGAGGTGACTCCGTCATGACCAAAGGACACAAGGATGCTTGCCGGGACGTGGATGTTTGCATTCTTGATGCGATCCACCACAAGGTCATCGAAGTGACAGCGGAGACATTTCAAAACATGGAGCTGCCAGAGGACCAAGGAGCTTCTCAGTACGCTCGCGTCTCGAAGATGCTCCTGGACACTATCGACTACCACTCGGCACCATGGGACCTTGTTGAGTTGGCAAAGGAATCGAGGCCATCTCTGGTAATTCCCATACACATGGTACCTTCACCCACCAATCCACTCATGAAGCGGCTGTTGACAACCTACTACCGGGAACCGATCGAGAGGCTGCCAGGCAAGCGCAACACTGAAATCAAGTTTGGTGAAGATGGCATGGCATTTGTTTTGCCGGTAAACAGCCAAGAGATCCAGGAAAAGCGATATTGATGCCGAATCTGGCCGTCTGTACACGAGAGTGGGGAGCAGTGCAGGGTCGGCATTAAAAGGTCTGAAGTTTCGTTCGAGAGCTTTCCTTGCCGGTTTCCTGGGATCGGATCTGCGAAAGCCAGCTTGATGAGAGATGAAGCCCTTGGGTCGCGACTTGTAGGTTGCTCCAGGACCCACCTCCACGCCTGCCAGCTTCTCATGCAGAGGTACGGGAATCCAGATGGGCCCGTGCAGATGAAGGCGCGAACCGAGCTATTCACAGGAATCTTCGTTGATGCTGAACTTCATGGCATGTGGATGCTGCTCGTGATATGTACTTCCTGGAACAGGTGGCCCATAGCAGTCTCTCGATGTTGTTGCCTTGTTGGACGTACCCTCTTGGCTCCGAGTTTCACCCCGCAAGAAAACGCGTTGACAAGCAACCTGTATAACTGTATTCAGCGAGAAGTGGACTTAGCATTCCACGCAGAGCTGGAGTGATTCCACAGGCCAATAAGTACTAAGAGCATCAGGAATGCTTCAGCTTGTGCCTGTAGCTTTACTGACGGGGCGCGAATTAAGTTCTACAAGAACTGGTCCTGCTTCGTGTTCCTCCTCACCACCATCACGAGCGAGCGCCGTGGCCTGAGCATTGGGGTGACCGACTAAGGCTTCTGCGTTTTCCAGGTTGACAGAAAGCGTGAGCAACGCACACAAAGTGCCTTTGCCACATCGGAAGAAATTCTCATGAGTAAGTTTAAAGCTGCATGGCAACTCAAATCCCGAAAAACCCTTAACTGGCAGGAAGCGGAAGAGTCCTCAAGTATGGGCAATTGTGGTTTAGGTCCAGAGTCGCGATGCTCCCTTGTTCTCATGATAGAGAGTGCACTCTCTCGGAGCGACAAGTCGATGCATACAGGGGTGCGGATTCCAATTTTTCAGGCTCCACCAGTTGCAGAGGCATGCCCTTCAGTAGAAGACGGCTTGACTTCAGCACAGGCCCAGTGAGCTGAAGGCCGAACTCAGGGGCTTGCCCAATTCTCGAAGCATCTTCGGCATTGGGCCTCGCGCTGGGAGTACGCTTTCGCTCCTGACTCCCGATGGTGGATATCGTGTTTTCTCTTCAGCGGCGTGGTGCCAGTCGCCGTCTCTGAGGTTTGGCTGCTGCATGTGGGCCAGGAGGCAGAAGCGCTGGCGGTTCTGGGATTGTCGGTCTGCTTTCCAGACGGAGCCCGTGGCGGAAGGTGCGGTGCAAAGCCACGATGGCCCTCCAGGATCAAGGCTCTGTGTGCAGGGTCGAGCTACATTGTGCGGCCTGTGGGCGAGAGACATCAGGAAACACGCGGATGCACATGGTCCATTCGACGGGTATAGACTGTGACATCGCAAAGGTGGTCTTCTTCAGCTTTCTCTCCGGGACGCTTGGGCTCTCGGTGTACATGTGCCGCGCTTACAGTCTTGACTTGTCTTGGTCCACTTACTTGGTGCTTGGCATCGGTGCTCCTCTCTGAGGTACATGTCCGGACTGAGCGCAGCAGCCACAGAGTCCAAGTGAGACATGCAAGGTCGCATCTGCAGTTGCAAGAGCGACGAAGCTTGCGCATAGTTAGCGAAAGCCCAGCAAGGCAGAGATTTTCACGGAGAGTGCCTAAAGTCAGCAAGCATGAAGCCAGAAGTCACCCCTTTGCCCAGACTTCGTCGTTGGACCTGTCGCGATCGACTTCGGAGCAGCCGCTCTGTCTGACCTCCTGGCCTCAACGATACGACCAGGCCCCGAAAACTGCGCCTTTCTGAGATCCCCTTGTTCTTCCCAGCACAGGTCGTCGCTTCCACGATTTGGAGTGAGGCGCAGAAAGCTGTCAGACTCCCTGCGCTCCAAGAGTACAGAGTCATTGTCAGGACGACGTGCTGTTCAAAGCGCCAGGTGCAGACGAGGACAGTGACCTTGACCTTCTTACCTTCCGCCCACTATCTCCCACCCTTCCATGTCATCGCCAAAATGCGGGAAACGGCAACGTTGGAGCTCCTTGACACTCTGCAGGGTAGGCTCTAGAGTATTAGAGAGTGGGGCTGAGGAGTTCTTTGCGAAGTACGGCTGCGAAGTTCCAGCGCTATCTGGGGCTGTCTGTAGGCCGCTGAAGAGAGACTGCTCGATGCTGCTCCTGTAAGCCACGCCCTACCAGTGCACTGCCGTGCCACCCTTCCTGTTAGGGACGTGAGCTTCCACACACAGGATCTCCAGCGACCGTGCTGACCCAAGCAATCTCAAGCACGTGAGGGTCGCCGCCTCCAGCACTGTGGGGGTGGTGCCTTTGGCCAAGGCTGGCATTGGCCATGGGCGCCACGGGCTTTGACTACGACCTAATGGGCGCTTGGGCCCCTCGGAGCAAAGACTCATCCCGGATCCCGGATTCCCTTCGAGGACTTCACTTCTAATTCTTGAGGCGCTTTGGTGGCTTCTCTTGACGTTGGTGGCCTGGGTTGGGGTCACCATACACGACTTGGCCCTGATTGGGCAATCCCAGAAGGCGCGCTGCGGGCTTTCCAAGAGTGAATCAGTGAATCGTTCAACTGTAGCCGCTGTAGCCACTAGCCATCGGACTGAAACTTGAAGCTGTCGAAGGACTTCGTCCTCGATGTCAGCGGTGTCAACAAGCACTGCCCGTGCATCCGAAGCGTTTGGAAGTTTCTAGCTGGCTACAGGTGGGACTGCAGCCATGCTCTCGTGGCCAGCACCTGCGCCTGTGACTGCACACTTCCAAGGCCACTGGTGCGCTTGGCAAATTCCGAGCGCTTCGGCACGCGTTCACTCGGCATCGTGCCTCGGGCTGAGCCGTGCTGTTGAACATGGGCCAACAAGGTACCGCGGATGCCCCTGGCAAGTGTCATTGACATGTCATCATGTGAACAATTTCGGCTCCTCAGGCTGGCGGTGCTGTTGGCTCCAGTTCTCTTGGCCATTTACAAAGTTGCAGCTGGCTTGAAATGTGTGCAGCCAGCCATCCGCTTTTGCCAAGGCCTGGAATCTGGTTGTGCTGCTCTTCATCATCTGCCCGTTGATCCTTTTAGCTTTCATGTTGCTCGGTTGCAGTGCAGCTACGCTTCGTGTGGGATTCTGGCAGTATTGCTTGGAGGGCTATGACAATGACTCAAGCCTGATGTTTGCTGTGCCGCGATTCCATCAAGAACTTGCCAAGTCTCCAAGGCGATATCCAATCCGAATGAGCGGCAGCCTGAGGCCAAAAGCTTTTCGGCTCATGCAGATTTCGAGCAACAACATGAGGCCGTGCATGGGTCTTCATCATCTCGGTAGCCTGCGTTCTCTATGGATCCGCACTCACATTGCAGCAGCTGGCTCGTGCCCCAATTTCTCGTTTGCCGAATCCGCACGCCTGCTCTTCCTCGAGTGTGCACTGGACGCTCCCTGACAACAGTCTGGCTTGCGAAGGCCTTCGTCGCTCGCACTGATCTGCGTCCGAGATATGCCCCGCCCTTTGAGACGCGAAAGCGCTGCGATCAAGATCTCCCAAAGCAGTCCTGCAGCCTGTTCTGAACTCTTGCGGTTGCGAAAGGAGAGCATAACCGTAACATCACTCTGATCGAGGCACTGACCTGGGAAGCCCAGGGCTTTCAAAGCGCATCTTTGCAGCTGTGGCCTCGGTTCATACTGTCGCAGCAGTAGTAGGCTGCAAGTGCTGCTGGGGATTCGAATGTTCGTGGTTTGTTTATTCCGGAAGCATCGCAACGGCAAGTCGTACCGCAGCCGTTCGACTTAAGCTGCCCGTCCGTGCCACCTCTGCCGGTACGGTTCAGCTAGTGAAAGTTTAGGCTGTCAGGGCTTGATGCCGAGGAGGTCCTCTTCTGACTCCGTGTCCCGGCCTCGTGCCCGGACCACCCGCCGTCGCCGACGTGGACGTCGTCGTCAGGCCTGTTTCCGGTATTGCCTTAGTAGTCCTGTTGGTTGTCACCGCGTGGCAGCCCTCCCCGACTTCTTCGAGCAGCCCCCGGTCTCCTTCCTCCGCTTCGAGGTTGGTTGACTCCAGCACGTTGGGCACTTTTATCTGCCGCTGTGCTTCAGGCGTTCACCCTCCGTTCCGGTGCCCTTGTCGGGCGCTCGGTCCTTCCGGTGAGCTCCTTTTTCATGTTTCTTTTTCTGAGGCCGCAGTCCGGTACGTTCACCCCTGGTGCGACTACCCCTGCTGCTACCGCCGCGGAGGCCCGGACTGCCCGCTATGTCCGTTCGCCTCTGATTTGCTTGACCATGCTTGAGCTCCGGTTGCGCGCATGCAGCAGCATTCCCGCTCTCAAGCATTTTGCCTCCCGCTCCCTCCCGTTCTTTGCTTTTAGCATGAACCGCTTCGGAGGATCTCATCCGCTTCGCGATCTGGCCCGTGGCTTGCGGTATGCCCAGGCTGGCTTGGGATCCGGCCCAACTACGCCGTCCCTTGGACCTGGCCCGGCTGTTGCGGTCATTGATCCGCCGGCCCAGAATCAGGCCGACCCGGCCGCCAATGCTGGCGATGGTCAGCCGGCCGCCGTCCCTGATCCGGCCCCGGCTGTTGCTGCCTCCAATATGGCCACCCCAGCCCCGGTTAGCACGGCCACACCGGCCCCGGTGCCTGCCGCTGCCCCTGCGGATCCCCCCGGCGGTTACTTGGCCACCTCGAAGGCTGCCTCCGGAACCCGCTCTGGTGCTGGTGTTCCTGCTGGTGATGGCACTGCTCCGGCCGCTCCCAGATGATCCAGACCAAAGCGGTGCCCAAGCACCCGCCCACAACCGGTGGCCTGCCTTCCAATCCCCCGGCTGCTGCTGCGATCCCGCCGGCCTCGGCAGACACCCGCCCGGCGGATTCGGGTCAGCAAGCTTCCGGCTCCGGTCAGCCAGCGTCCGGCTCTGAGCCGCGTCCGGCCGAGTGGATGGCTCCGCCGTATGACCCGGCTCGAGAGCGCGCCTTGCGCCAAGTCATGCTGGAGTTCCTTTCCGAAGCAGATGATGACTTGGTCTACTCCGGGCTGGCCGATCTCCCGCTGAGCCAGGCATCCCGGTTGCTGGTGCTTCTCTCCGAGGTGTGCCAGGACAACTTTTATGCCCTGGCCAACCTAGGGCAGTACGACGTCGAGGCGCCGATCTCCGTATTGGCCGCTCAGTCTACCCGGCCCGGCTCCGTTCCGGGGCAGTACCGTCCGGTTGGCGCACGCTCGAGGGCCCCCGCTTACCGGACCGTGAAGGTGCAGAGGCCATCCGGGAGAACCTGGCCCGCCCCCAGCCCAGCTTCCCGCCAATCCGCATTGCCCGGACCGACACTCGCGATATTGCTCTGGATGTGCCTCTGGTGCACTGTGACCGGAACCGGCCCTCGGTGACGCCCCAGTTCGATCCGGATGCTCCGTTGACCCCGAGGCGCATCAACACCGGTCCGTGGAACAAGTCAGAAGGCTGAATGCGCCTGTCCATCTGCCTTCCGGACTCTCCCGGCCCATTTGTCCGCGACCCGGAAACATGGCCTTATCCGGACCTCTTTTGCTTTGAGCTGGAGGATTTACCACCATGGGTGCCGATCCAGCAGCCCCCGTCCGGCTTGACGCACCTCCGGATCCGTGGCTATTGTAGCCATGATTGCCCGGCGCGAGGACCACGCTGTATGCGCTGTTGCCTCCGGCCGATTTTGTATTACAGCCGGACGGCTCACTCCGGTCACAAATGCCATAACTGTATGGAGGATGGCTTCTGATCCGCCCCGGTGGTGTCAGCATTCATGGTCTTTTCTTCCCCGGGCTCTGAAGCATAAATCATTATTCCGACCCGGCCTTAATTTTACTACCTCCCGCGCTCCGGTGGCCATCCTCTCTGCATCTCACCGGTCATCCGAATCCGACCGGTGGGTTCTGGATCTGGCTGCCCCTGCGGAACCGCAAAAGCTCTCTGCTCGCTTACATGTTGCACTGTTCCTGCTCGAGCTGTTTACGTTTTCATGCTGCCCTGATTCAGGTTCCGCTCCCCTCCGAGGCCTGTGCTGTCATTCTTCTGTGTTGCCTTTCACCCCGCCCTTGTCAGGCAACACCGAAATCCTCGTGGCCGCGGCCTGGCGTGCTTTCACAGGTTGCTCCTCTGAGTCTGCTCCTGTCAGGCGCGTCATCCTTTGCACCTGTGTTGCCCGCGGCACCGTGCTGTGAGCCCCCGGCTCCTCGCCCGTGTCCCTGGCAATCCTTGCATCTGCCTTCGGATGAGGCCCAGCCGGGCACCCCTGTTGCGGCCCGCGCTCCGCTGAGCCCCCTAGGTTCCCCAGGTTCGGACCTTTTCGCATCGGATGGGACTGAGGCCGGGTTCCAGCTGGTCGCGGGTGTTTCATCAAAATCTCCTGGATTTGTGTCTGGTGTGCCTGACCTGGCCCTTCCCGGCCTGGCTTCCTTGGTCGTCCCGCCCTTGGCTTGCCCTCCTGACAGCCTGCGTCTGCCTGGCTGGTGCCCGCGCCCTAGGCCGGTGCCCAAGCCCTGCTCGCCTCCTTCGGCCTCGCCTGGACTTCTTCTCTGCCCTCGGGTTCCTGCCCGTCGCGCTCCTGTGTTCCCTCGTGGGCCGTCCGTCTTCTCTCCACCCGTACCACGTCTCCTGCCCTTGGGGCGTCGTGTGTCTGTTGGGTCTAGCTCCAAATCGCCGTTGTTGCCCGACGCTGGCGGTGACACCCCGGCCCCATCTGGCAACTACATCCTCGGGTCTCTTCCCCTTGCCTCGGCCTCGGACTCTGGGTCTTCCATGGCCGCCGCTGCCGAGGCCGCCCTCGTGACTTTGAGGGCCGCTTTTTGCGATGCCGTGCAGGACCTCGGTGATGATTGCACACTTTGGCTTCACACGAAACTGGTGCCGTCCCCCCGTGAGCTCCAAACCCGGGCGGTCGCGAAGTTTGCCCCATCTACCCTCACTGTTTATCTGCGTCTCTGGAGTGCCTGGGTCCTGCACTGTCGCCGCTTCGGTTTCAGTTGTTCCGACCCGGCTCCCGGGACCGTTCCTGATTGGCTTCACCGGAACGCCGCCCCCTCCGGACTTGCGACTTCGGCCTTTAAGTCACTTAGCTGGATGTCGCGCATTGCTGGCTTGCCTTCACTTGCGGCGCAATTGCAAACTCCGTTGTGCACTGCGTTCCTCACCGCTACCATCCCCATTGAACGACGAGAATCCCTGCCGTTCTCCGTCTCTTTTGTTGCTTGGCTGGAACGTCGAGTTATGTGTCCGGACACTCCGGCCCGGGATGCCCTGGTGATGGGATCCGTGCTCTGCTTGATCTGGTCCAGTTTGCGCTGGAACGACGGGCTCTGGTCTCCGCCCGGCCGTTTGGTGCTTCAGTACGACTCTTCCGCCGTGACCGGCCTGGCCACTCGCACGAAAAGTTGCCGTGCCTCCATGCCTTGGGGCTGTCAACTGTTCGGCCTCACTGGGGGCCCCTCTGCCTGCTGGGGCCTGTCGTGGCTCAATCTGGTGAATCGTGCCCTGGCGGACACCCGACTCCGTTTCCCCGGCCGGTCCGTGGATTTTCTGTTGCCCTTGCTTGCTCCGGATACCGAATCCTTGGTCATGGTTTCTCCTTTGCACCGGTCGCGGGCCATGCCCTGGCTCCGGGCATTGTTGGACGAACATTGGCGAGAACACAGTTCCGGGCCGCCCCCTCCGGAACATGCCCGCTTTGGGGTGCACTCGTGCAAAGCCACCGTCCTCAGCTGGGCCCGGCAGTCTCACTTGAGTCCGGAGCTTCGCCGCCTTCAGGGCCATCACCGGCCGTCCGCTATGGAGGGATCCGTCCGCGTCTATAGCAGGGACGACGTTGGCCCCATGTTATTGCTCCAATCCGAAGTTATCAACCGCATCCGGTCGGGATTCCGCCCTTTGCAGCCTCGTGGTGCGTCCCGCCCGCTTCCTGACTTCCGGGTCTCCTTGCCCCCTCCGGACCGCCATATGGCAGGCGAGGCCCCTAAAGATGTTCCTCCTCGTTCTCGCTCTCCGGTTCCTCATGCCAAGTCCAGTGCCGCGGCTCCGGTGGATGATGTTCCGGAACTCTCGGCTGACAGTTCCGACTCTGATGTGTCAACCGCGTCCGCCAGTGACGTTGACACCTCAGTGCCTGCAAAACCGAAGCTGGCCGTCCGGCCCAAGCGCCCGGCGGCCCACACATCGGATGACCTTCGGGCCTTCCTGGTAAATCCGCGCAGCAACATTGTTCACAAAGCGGTTTCCTGCTCGTCCGGTACCCCGCATGCTGTGAATATTGCACTTGATGGACTTCAGCCCTTTTTTGCGCGCCCGGCATGTGGTGCCTCTACTGCCCACATGACTTCCGACTGTTGGCTTACGACCCCTCCTGTGGGTGCTCAGCCGTGCCTCCGCCGGGCATGCCGGGATGACTAGACGCTCGCGCTGTGAATGAAAACTGGTTGCCGTCCCGTATGCCGCGCATCATTTCTGAGAGTGCATTGTCTCGTGGTTCCGGCTTGTTTACATCCGCAGCCATTTTGCCTTCAGGTAGAGGTTCTTCTAGTCCGGGTTCCGGCCACCAACCACATGGCTGCCGACTACCCCGCCACGAGTTACACGGCCTCTTCCCAGCAAGCGCCTGCTCCGGACGTTTGGCACACTTTCAGGGCGGCCCGTGGCCATGACGGCGCAGTCCTGCTGCCTTCCGTCCCGGAACTGGTGGACCTGGAAGAGCTTAGCGATGAGGACCTGCTGGCTATGCTCCGCCGGTGCTCGGCTGGCTTCTTGGCACGCCTGGCCCGCCTCATCGGCAGGATCCTCCGCCCGGTGCCGCAAGTGGTGACCTGCCATCTCCCTTGCGTGAATCCGGAATGCAACCAGGTGTGTGGCCGGGTCATCGACGTCACTCGCCGCCGCCAGCATCGGAACCATGCCTGTCGGGTTTGCCACAGTTTCGGATGGTGAACCCGTTTTCCTAGCCAACGCGACTGGCCCGGCCGGTGAATTTTGTCTGCCACCTGCCGCAATGATCTGGCATCCGGCACTGAGCAGGGCGCAAAACTTTGTGTGGTTACGCCTTGTTTCCGCCGGTTCTGCAAGTTGCTTTCATGTAGCGTCTTGCTCCGCAGCTGGCTCATAAGCATCAGGTAGGCTGTGCTGTAGGCTGTCACTGGACTTTGGATTTCCCCGGCCTTGGTCCCCATGACCTCTGCCCCCCCTTCCTTTGACGACCCCGCTGCGCTCGTCGCTCTGCTTAAGCAGTGGCACGCTCCTGATGCGCTGCTGGACGCGCTGACGCTTAAAGGTTTCAAGTCCCTGGCCAGCATTGCGTATGCCATCCCAAAGGATGGGTCCCCGGATGACTTTGTCCGGAAACTCTGGCCGCCGGCGGATGGATCTTCCGAAGCCATTGTCTCTCCTGCTGCTGCTTTTGCACGTCGCCTGGTCGTGCAAACCCAAGCGGTTGCCCACCCTCCTGCATCCCCGGCACCCATCCCTGGCCCCAGCCTTCCTTCGGCTCCTGCGGCCAAAGTCTCTGCCGCCGCAGCTGAGACCATGCGAGAAAAGTTCATCACCGATTACCCGGGGGAACTCCTGTCCCCGGCTAATACTCCCAGCATCGAATTTCTGAACCGTCTCCGGTCCGAACTTGATGCCCCAACGTCGCTCTGGATTCCGTGGCGCTTGAGGACATCTGAGTCGGATCTGCAGCATTTCTACGAATCCCGCCGGCCCCGTTCGGATGCACAGCTGTTGCGGGGCTTGCTTGAGGGTGTTCCGGACCCTGTGGTGGCCCAATCCTCCGCTCCCACCTCCGGCCCGGCCGAACCTACGTTGCGCCGCCATCTGGGCCTCTTGATTACAGCTCTTGCCTTCCTGGGTGACCTTCACCTCCGTGCCGGGAAAATGCTTCTTGAAGCATTTGTGGCCGCTGCCGTGGAGCAGCCCATCGACACTACCCTCCGTCCTCCATCTATGCAGGAGGTCATTGCTGCCGAACGCACCGTGTGGTCTAACGTTGCCACCCTGATGCGCGATGAGAAGTGGAGCCTCCCGGACTCGGTCACCGAGATTACTGTTACGCGGCATATGCTCCCGAACATTCTTGTGGCCCGGCCGCGCAGCATTCCGGCGCCTCCGGTTAGGGAACCTGGACTCCGGAACCTTGACCGCACCCGTCCTGAGGATACTCCGGAGCGCCCGCCCAAGAAACCCCGTCCCAACCCTAAGGGTAAGGCTAAAGCCGAAGCGAAGGCCACCGGGAAGAAGCCCATTTCCGAGCTATGGGACGATTCATGGCACTCCGTCGATGAGTCCGGAAAAGAGATATGCCGCCGGTTTGTTGTTGGTCGGTGCAAGTTGTCCAACTGCCGCTTCAGCCACACGTGCCCCATTCCGCTTCCGTCCGGAAAGCCCTGTGGGCAAAAGCATACGGCCAACAAGCACTCCAAAACCCCGCATTGACTACCTACTGGCCCCGTGTCCGGCGCTCTGAATGCGACCGTTCCTGTGTGCATTCCATCGTCTTCTGATGAATCCGAGTGCATTCCCTCGCCCACGCCGTGCGGCCCGAGCCCCCCGACATCATCTGTTACGCGGCCTGCTGCTCCGCTGGTGGTTGGATCTTTGGCTCCTCCGGACCCTCGAGCACGGTCCCGTTCTCCGCGCCGGACACGCCTTGGATTTTCCTTTTCTTATGTACCACCTCGCGTCCCGCTGGGACGCCGCATTGGATGCCCCGCTCCACCGACACAGCACACATCGTCTTGCCCGCCTCCTGCCCCGGAGACTGTGACACAAACCTTGCCGGAACCTGTGTCTCACCCTGCACCTTGCAAGCACCGTCTCTTTCTTGACTTGTTTTCCGGCTCCTCGGCGCCGCTCTCCCGTGCAGTCGCTGCCCTTGGTCTGGACCGCATTTCCCCCATCGATTGTCTCCACGGTGAGCATGTTGACTTGCTTGACCCCGACACTCAAACCTCCTTGCGCCGGCTCTGCTCCAGTGGTTTGATTGCTGTGGCTACTGCGGCTCCTCCTTGTTCTAGCTTCAGCCGTTCCCGCCTCCGTCCAGGTGGCCCGCCGGCGGTGCGCACACCCGCACACCCTTCTGGTATTCCTCGGCCTTCCCCACGCCAACAAGCCGAATTGGATTCCTCAGACCGGTTGCATACATTCACCCGGGAGTTGCTCACGCTCGTCATGTTGGCTGGAGGTATTGCCATCTTAGAAAACCCGGCCTCCAGCTTACTCTGGCTTGTCCCGGGCTGCCGATCCTGGATCCGCCACCACTGCATGCATTCGGTTGAAGTTGCCGCTTGCAGCCACGCCTTGGACTACCGCAAAAGCTGGCTTTTTGTGTCCAACTTTTCGGATCTGAGCTCTCTCGCGTCTGTGTGCCAACATCCTCCCGGCTCTCATGCGATGACGTCCGGACGCCGGACTGCCTCCGGTGCTTTCCTCACACGGGATACCGCCTGTTATCCCTCGTCACTGTGCTCTGCGCTTGCTGACCTTTTCAAGCCGTTGCTCTCGTCACACACCGGCGAGATCCCTTTTCGTTCCTGGCATTCGCTTCTTCCTGCTACACTTTTCTGGCCCATTCCGGCGAATCGTGTGGAAGATGGTGCCGGCACTTGTTCATCTGCCTCTTGGTCTGTTCCCAGAGGTGCTGATTGCTTCGGCTCCCTCCGGAAAGCCTGGTGTGCCCGCATTCTTTCAGGGGACTTCCTGTCCAAGTTCCAGGCCAAGTTGTCCTCCGGATCCAAGGCCCCTCCGCTGTCGGACCCAGAATTGGCCCCGTTCCTCGAGGACCTTCGATCCTTCCTTCGGCTGTCCGCCCCGGACTTTAACACGCTTTTGTCCATCCCGCCGGGACAACCTTTCCGCCTCTTTCTATTGGAAGCGCTGTTGTCTGTTTTCAAAGATCCGGACACCTCCTTTGTGGACTTGCTCACTGAGGGCGTCCCCCTGGGCGTTGATTCCGAGATGCCTTCCTGTCCGACCCTATTTCCCCCGGCCGGACAGTCCGCTCCCACTATGGACTTGACACATTGCTCCTCTTCTTGGGGCTCCGCTTTGTCGGATCAAGCATCCGTGGATAGCCTTCTCTCCGAAGACATTTCAGAAGGGTGGGTGCGTGAAGTTCCCGGTGGACTGGACGAGCTTACAGCCCGTTACCAGCAGACTGCTGTTGGGAAGCTGGGCTTGGTCAAATCCCCCGGCCGGCCGGATCGACTGGTCGTCGATAGCAGTGTTTCCGGTGTGACCGAACACACCTCACTTCCCAACAAGTCCGCAAATCCGTCCATCTCCGGTCTTCGCCAGTGCCTTCCGCCGGAGCACGCCATAGAATGGCTCATCGCGTTAATTTTGGACGTCAGCAAAGCCCACCGCCGGATCAAAATCCGTGACTCCGACCGTGGCCTTTTGTGTTTCTTTCACCGGAACCGGCTGTACCAATGCTTAACGCTTAACTTTGGCGCACGCGCCTCCGGCTTCTACTGGTCCCGGATGGCCGGCTTGCTGACCCGTCTACTTCACCGCCTGGTCTTTGTCAAGCATTGCCTGCTGATATATGTTGACGATTTGATTGCTCTGCTTTCCGGCCCGTCCGGCCCGGTGTGGGCAGCACTGATGTGCATCATGTTGCTCATTCTCCGCGTTCCGATGAGCTGGCATAAGGCCTACTTGGGCCCCCGGCCGACGTGGATTGGCTGGTCTATCTGCCTCCACTCCCTTTCTGCCACCATGGAAGCTCCTAAGCTTGACCGGCTGCGGGACCTCCTGGCCAAAATCCGGGGGTCAGATTCTGTCCCGCTCCATCTTCTCCGCAAGCTCACCGGCAAGCTCCTGTGGGTCTGCTCCCTGTTTCGGCCTTTCCGTCCCAGTTTGGCTCCCCTGTATTCCGACCAGGGCAAGCCTCCTGTCGTACATGTTGCTCTGAGTCCGGCGAAATGGGCTTCGTTCCGCTCCAAGCTTGACTCACACCTTGTTCTGCAGTCTGACGTGGGTCTCGCATCCTGTCCGAAGTTATGCACACTGATTTCGGTATCGGGTCGTGAGGTATCCTCACTTTCCCAGGTCCCGGTGTCCTTTCCTGGCGAACGCCGCACCTGGATTTCCGTGCGTATGCCACCTGAATCCGACCGGAAGCTTTCCAAGGAATCCTTGGCGGTGCTGGACATGTGGCACGCTTGCCTCGCCGATGCTGCCCCTACGTTCCCGCTGCCCCTGGCTCGTGAATTCCCCTGCCAGGCTTTCGCGGACGCCTGCGCCGATGCACAGCATGCCGGCATCGGTGGTTTCGTCACGCTTCCTTCCGGCAAGACTGCCTGGTTTCAACACCGGTTTTCCGCTTCGGAGCTCGCTGCCTTATTCCCCTGGTTCCCGGTTGGCACTTCTCTGCATTGCTGCTTGGGAACTTCTCGGACAGATCGCTCTCCTTTGGGTGATTGGTCTCTTGATTCCGGTTTCCCTTCACCGCATCCACGTTGTCACCCGCTGTGACAATTCCCCTTCCGACTCTGCTTCGTGGAAAGGACTCTCCACTGCCCGGGGAATTTGTTCCCTCCTTCCGGCCTATTTTGCCTGGCAGCGCGCATTCTGCATATCTACTTATATTGACCATGTTCCGGGTTTCCAGAACACTGTTGCCGATGGTCTTAGCCGAGGTGCTGACCCGGCCACCTTTGGACTCCGACCTTGTGACCGGGTGGATATTCCGTGGGCTCTCATCTCTCGGCCTCCTCGGCCTTCATACCATCCGCCGAGTGCCCTGAACCTGTCCCTTTTTCCGGCTATGGACTTCTAAATGTGGCTGGGTTTCCCCCGGTTCGGGTAGTCCCCACCTCAAGGGACTAACTAGTTTGGCCGTTAACCCAGCCGCCTTGTTCTCCGGTCCCGGGACTATCCTCTGGATCTGCCCGGGCACCGAATATACATTCCGTAGCTCGTCCGGTTGCCCGGTTCCGGAAGATCCGCGAGCCGGGCCACAGACCGAGCTGCTTGAGCCAACCGTGAAAAAGGTGATGCATCCGTGAAGTCCGCGCTTCATGTTATTCCGTACCGCAGAGACGTAACGGACTAGTGCTTCCGGATAAACGGGGATTCGAATGTTCGTGGTTTGTTTATTCCGGAAGCATCGCAACGGCAAGTCGTACCGCAGCCGTTCGACTTAAGCTGCCCGTCCGTGCCACCTCTGCCGGTACGGTTCAGCTAGTGAAAGTTTCCCGCCACCGTCCCCTTGTCACCTCCGTTCGGTGGTCCATCCATACTTTCTGGACTTTCTGTGTTTTTCAGCTGGATTTCCGTCTGCACTTCCGTAGGCCGTTAACCCAGCCGCCTTGTTCTCCGGTCCCGGGACTATCCTCTGGATCTGCCCGGGCACCGAATATACATTCCGTAGCTCGTCCGGTTGCCCGGTTCCGGAAGATCCGCGAGCCGGGCCACAGACCGAGCTGCTTGAGCCAACCGTGAAAAAGGTGATGCATCCGTGAAGTCCGCGCTTCATGTTATTCCGTACCGCAGAGACGTAACGGACTAGTGCTTCCGGATAAACGGTGGTGGTAAAAGTCGCCTTGGTCGGTCATCGTCGTCCTCGGCACACGAGGTTCTTGTGTGCTCACCCTCAGGCTTAAGGATAGAGCCTCCAGGGGCTTTCGGGGTTTTGCGGATGGGAGTTTTTGGTCTCTAGAATAAAAGGGTTTTGGGGTTTACGGGCTTTTGCTCGTGGCTTGACAGGCTCAGGATTTCGAATGTGTTGTGGCGAGAATGAGGTTCGGGTGATGGGTGTGTACTTGGCTAGGAACGCAATACGTGCCGCAGCTAGGCTCAGCTGGTACGTCAGCTTCATGGAAAATGGCATGTCGTCACAAACTGCTTGATCCAAGCGTCAACCTGTACCCGCCACCGGTATCTGCAGCATTGCTTGTTTTTTGGGTATCGTGACCCAAATTTGCCTAGCGCGTGTGTGTGGGTGACATTTTCTACAGAAGCCCGTTCAAGCAGCACTGATATTTGAGGCATCGTCTCATATACGAGACTTCAGTTGTCGCCGTAGTAATTTAATAGCAGTGGTAGTGGTGGCAGTAGTAGTTAGTGGTAGTAGTAGTAGTAGTAGTAGTAGTAGTAGTAGTAGTAGTAGTAGTAGTAGTAGTAGTAGTAGTAGTAGTTAGTTAGTAGTTAGTAGTTAGTAGTTAGAAGTTAGAAGTTAGAAGTTAGAAGTTAGAAGTTAGTAGTTAGTAGTTAGTAGTTAGTAGTTAGTAGTTAGTAGTTAGTAGTTAGTAGTTAGAAGTTAGAAGTTAGTAGTTAGTAGTTAGTAGTTAGTAGGTAGTAGGTAGTAGGTAGTAGTTAGTAGTTAGTAGTAAGTAGTAGTAGCAGCAGTAGTAGTAGTAGTAGCATTGGTCCACAGCAGCAATCGCCTTTGTCGTTGTCGTGGTAGCAGCGCCAGTGCTAGCGGTAGTTGTAGTTGTGGCGGTTGTCCCTTTGTTGCCCTCCCCGTCCCCTGTACTTCTTGTGCAGCATCCTTGTGACACATCTGCCAAGGACTAGCCTCTGCACATGTGGCTGCGATTATTCGATGTCCCTGAATGTGGCTTGGTGGAGCCTTGCATGCCGGCGCTTCTGCATGGGGGTTGTGGTTGAAATGCCTACTATGTGGAGCCTGTTAGTGTCATCTCGGGCAGGGAGAAGCCGTAACACCATCTGTTTGGGTTTTCTTTCGTGTGCCGTCGGCATATCTAAAATCGAGGGGTTATGTCGGTGGTCTGTGGTGTTGAAGTCGATTTACTCGACTGTGCGCCGCCTTGCGACTACTTGTTGGGGTGCACAAGAGTTGGAGTGATACGATTGTACGGGGTTGGTCTCGCGATGCATTTTTAAATCCTTGCTCAGGTATCTGTGAACCTGGCGGTGATCGGCTTGGTCACAACAGTGCAACTCGTTCTGCACAAGGCATGACATCTGCTGATGACAGAGACCGCACAAGAGCAAGACGAATTTCATTCTAATCTGAGGAAAAGTGCCTTCCTGGCATTCCGTTGCTTGAAGGGTTTGCGCAGGCTCTTCTTTGCGGGCATAAAGCATGCAACATGTTGAGCGAGCGAAAACATCTTGCCTGCTCAGCTTCCTTTGGCTGCTTTGGCTTGGATTCATATTCCAGGTCGCAGTGGGCGAACCTGCTCTCCGTCACCTTCCCGGTACCCCTTACCGCCGGAAGCTCACCGTGTTTCAAGCCACTCGGAGGCTTCGAAGTCTAAAGAGATTCAAGATTCTGAGAGGTCTACACCGTGGACTGGCAGCAGCCAGATGGCCATCCCATCCGCTTTCGCACCAAGGACCCTGAAGACTCTAAGGGTTTGAGAGTGGTCAGCGCACAAGCGTCAGGAAATACCGGTTCAGGGAGAGGTGGCCTTTGATCCCTTCGCCATGATGGACGAGCAGCCGGACAGCGCCTACACGACGGCCGGGCATTCGCAGGGTGCTTCATCCATGGCGCCGGACTCGTAGAGTAGAGATCTCCTGGCTCTCGCCAGGTGCACTTGAGACCGGAGCCAGGGGCTCTGGGGCTTTGGGGCTCTAAGAGCCCTCTTCTTCGGCTCTCGCTTCAGAGTCGCTTGGCACTCCTCTGAGAGAGGCGTGTGCATCGCTTCGAGAAGTCAGAGCACGGCGAGCTTCGCGTGCTGCAGCCCTCCAGGCTCGGCATCGATGTTTCAGCTTGGGGGAGCCCGAAGCGAGAGAGCCAGCAAGAGCTCTCGCTCTCGTAGGCGATTGGAGATGCCAGGAATGCCCGTGCTGCGATCTCACGTTTAGTGTGCCCAGTGTGGCCGGGAAGGGACAGACTTGACATGTGCAACTGAGGCCATCGAAGTTGGAGCCGGCACAGTTCAAAGCTGTGATTGAGGCAGAATACATTGGCTGTCGTGCACCCGGCCTTCTGCTCCTTCTGGACCGGAGCGGAGCCCTGCGCATGTCCCAGGCTGCGGCTTTCCGTGGCCTACGGGTGGTAAGAAGTTTGCATGGGGCCCAGTGTTTGTTTCTGCTTTCTTAAGGTTTTTGGGGAGGGCTTGCGCCGGTTGAGGTCTACGATGAGGATTTCCTTGAGGCGCTGGAGCGTGGCAGGAGTCCGAGTATCCAACAGCAATCGCCGTTGGCGTCACCATGCACTGCCAAGGCACCCCCCTCCCACATGGAGACGGGCTCAATCCTGCGACCTGGCTCGTCAGGTTTGAACTTGGGGGTTCGGCGGATTGCGCTCACTTCGCTGCGAAGATTTTTTCGTGTGGGCATTGCTAAGGCGAAAGACCTGGCTGAGGAGGCATATGCAACTGATGCAACGAGACTAACTAGCAGCTGCGTATGGCCGATGCTGAGATGTTGAGATGTTTCCAGGAGGAATCCGATATGGACGAGTCTACAACTGCCGACGGTGATGCTTGGACGGCAGGCTATTTGCTTTTCCTGATCATCTCCGAGGTTGTTGATCGGACTGTCATTTCACAGTGTGTGGTGAGGATATCGCACCAACTGGCGTTCCGAGTGCATTACTTTAACAAGCCAAGGCAGTCGAATTCGCCGGCATTCCAATAGCGTGCCAAGTGCGAGATTGCGGAAGGTGCGGTCTGATGCGGTCCGAGCATGCTTCCCCGAACAGAAAGAAACTCAACCCCCCCCACACTCCTGAAGCAAGAATCGATCACCTGAACTCGCATGCCACAGCCCATGATAAACTGGCGCTCGAAATATTTCGGAGACTACTCCCTTCATCTCTGAACCCTACAGTTGTAGTGCACGGAGATGCAGACTTCATCAGCCTTAGTTGTTTTGCTACGTGGTCTGCCTCCCTGTCGGCCCGAAGCTTCATTTCTCAGCATGAACTGCACGAGAGTTTCAAGGGGCATGGCGGTTCGAGAAGCGTAAACCGGGCTGCAGCTTTGGCAACCAACCATGCAAACTCTAAGCCCAAAGCCGTGTATCCTCAACATAAGCACCCCAGCCGAAATCTCCTAAGGCTTAAACCCTCTTTAGCCCTGAGCCAAGAGAGGCCATCTGGCACCTGGCTGCCCTTTGCCGCGGCTCCCGTGCTACAGCCGCGGGAGGACACCCCGCTCAGTCCGGACCTTGTGTCTCGTGCACCTGTGGTTGGGTGATGGCGAGGATGACGTCTGCATGTCGACGCTGATGCTGATGATGCTTCTGACTATGATGATGATGGTGGTGGTGGTGGTAGTGGTGGTGGTGATTGTCGCTACTGTTGTTGTGCCTGCTGGTGCGGTGCTCGCGGTGTTTGTTGGCCTCCGTAGCGTTTTCGGTTTAAGTTATAGTCTTGTAGATTTGGTTCTGCTAACTGGTATTTCTACAATCATCATGTACATGGCTACTCTGGTGCATTGATGGCTTCTGCATATCGACTCGTGCAGTGAATCATGCTGTTGCCTGCGGAGATAGCGAGCATTTGCTGATGTGAAAAGTGCACATGCGTCAGAGGGGAGAGCCATCGGTTGTTTAATGCTCCTGCAGAAGTCATGCACAGCAGAAGCTGGAGAAGAACAACGCCTATGCCGAGGTGGCGACGACCGAGAAGCTTCTCTGAGGCGGCTCTGAGTAGTTTCTCGGCTCACCACTGAGGAAGTCAAAGATCCGGCAGCAGCCCATTGAGAAGAAACGATTTTCACTGTCTCGCATGCATAAGTCCTCTAGCAGAGCAGGTAGAGCGACGTAGATTGGTACATGTCCCTCAGAGAATACGTTGCGAGGATTTCCAATCCGAACCGGCTGCCTCATGCCATGAAGCCACAGCGCCTCCAACTTCCTCATGGGTGCCATGCCCCTGCTAGTCAGATTGGCAGTTTGCAGCTGCAACTGCCTCGGCAGAAGCCGCTAGCTGGCCGTGCAATTTCTGCAAATTCTGGTTAGACCTATCTCCCGCAAAGAGGGGCTTGGTCATCGATGACCTCACTGTATAGACAGGGCCCAAAGCCGCCCGTTGTTGGGTTGTCGTGGCAACTAGGTCGTAGTACGGAGCTGCGTTTCTCCTGACATGCAGATGCCAAGCTTGAAGCCTGCCGCAGCATGCACAGAGGAGACAAGGACGGCCACAATCAGCCCTGGTATGATACTTTAGCTGACTTGTCTCTATTGCTCCTCTGAGTTGGTGTCCCTGCACAGATGGGAATCGCATTGCATCCAAAGCTTCTTGTGAAGGACCGCAGTAATGTCTTCGGTGGCTTTACGGGGGGATGTGTCTTGTCTCCCTTGCCAGGAGAATCAGATCTTCACCTTGTGCATGTTCTTCGCGGTGCTGTTTGTCGTGCCCTTTTCCATTGTCTGCTGTTGCTTGAGGCGTGGCCCAAAGCTTCGGGAAGCAGCGCGTGTCGTCTGGGCAGACAGTGTTGCGCTCGATTGCAGGGGGTCCAACATCTCCAGCAATGGCGTCTGTGGGGAGACCTTGAAGGTTTTCCACTCCTGCATAGACATCGAGGCACTTTCCAACCAAAGCAAGCCTAAGCCGCGGTTTATAGCTATGGCTGCTATGGTGTGGGGCCTCGGACCTTGGCCCTCCTTGGCCATTAGTCAGGTGGCAGACCAGGATATGCCTGGGCTCTTCGCGGCCTCGGTGGAGGCGAAGTCCTAAGCCCTAAGCTCGGCTCGTGGCCTCGATCTCGCCCATCTCGCGCCCCTTGCAGTCCCGTCGGCAAATCTGCGCGGACTTGAGCCCAATGCTGGAGGCGGGAGGGGCTGAGCCATAGGACTGCGAATCAGGTCCCAGGTGCTGGCCCTGAGAGGTCATGATCCGCAGAAACCCGGAGCCCATGAAGCCTGGCTCGGTTGTGCAGTTCGTCCAGGCGGCAAGTTGCGGCAATGGCAGTCGCATGTGGAAATTCAGGGGTCCCAGCACGCCAGGCCACGGGTAGTGGAGAGGAGTTCTGGCCTTACCTTGCCGTGCGGGCGCTGCTGTAGCTGCAGGGTTGGTGTGCCATGGCCATGGCAGTACAGTAGACTGTGCCCAGGAAAGGTCGAAGAGGCGTTCTTCGAAACAAAGGCAGTTTGCAAACTTATGTAAGTGCATGCCTGCTGTGCAACGCGCCTCAGGACCGGATGGCCGGTGGGAGGTCGAGGCAGAGAGAAGCGCAAGCATGTCATCCTCGCAGTCAGAACCTGTTACAGGTGTGGCCGGTGACTGGCCCACCCAAGAGTGCGGCAGAGGCGGCATGCTGAGTGCATTTCGCTGGGACACAGGCAGTGGGCGGGCCCCGACGCAGGTGCAGACAAAGGTCTTCCCTCAGTCCGTGCTGGCTGCGGCCGAGCCCAGGCGGGAAGTTGCGAGACCAAAACAGGGTGGGACGCTCCAGTCGCCAGTCACTTCTTCAGGATCAGCTGCCCCTTCAGCGATCCTGCGATCCGACGTGGCACAGCCGTCCTCTGGGCTCACATGTGGCGGCTACATCCGTTCTTCGCTCGGAGCCGCAGTCGCATCAACAGCCTTGAGATGCGTCGCTCTCAGGCACATGCCTCCAGCGGTGCAGGCCCGGGCACAGCTTGCGGGGCTAGCAGCTTGTTTGCTGAAAGGATCTGCAAGGCCTGTGCAAGCCTTTCAAGATGTTTCACACCTCGAGGCAGAGTTGACGGGGCGGCTGATGCATCTACCCAAGTTGGGACGAGCCGTGGCCTCGGGAAGAGCAGCCTTGAGCGCGCAAGTGCTCAGCACGAGTGCTCAGCTCTTGAGCTTTGAGCTTCCGCGAGTTCCCAGCCGTCGCTTTCTTGGGAAAACTCCCAGCTTCCGGAATCACCCGTTCTTCTTAGTCAGGCAATGACCTCCGTTGCAGCTCACGGCGAAGGCGACCGCTCCGGCATAAGCCCCAGTGCTGGAAATTGGCATGTCCCCTCATTGAAAACGCCCCCTTTTTTCAGATCCCCCTTCGCTTACTTACTCCATTTTAGATACCGTGATCCCCTGCCCTCTTCCATCTTGCGCTGATCTTGCGTACCCCTGATCCTAAATTTCCCACCTGGCCCTGTCTAGGTCATCCGTTGCCCACATACGCGCAAACTGAGCTCGCCGATAGACTGCGACATGCTACAGCGGGGGTAGGTGCATAGAACCGGTATACATTGCCACTTGACGGCACCATAGCTACGAGCAAGAGCGCCAAGTGCATGGCACCAAGTGTTGTTGTGCCAGCTATCGGCTGGGTGCATACTGCCAAAAAGCTGGACAACATCTGTTCGCCATTTTTCCGAGCTCTGTGCTTCCGAAGCGTCGGTCAAAACCCACCTCACTAGTGAATAGTGCTAGTGCTAGTGCTGCACGGAAAGGAGGCATTCGTTCTCGACATAGTGAAACTCGATGTCTGCCATCAGGGCATTTTGCTTGCACACGAGCAGGGCATGGTTTTTCGTTTTCAGCGAATGAAAGAGAATGTCTTCCGACTCTGGATATGAACCGCCGAGGCTTTGTGGACATCGTGCGCAGCTCCATCAAATTCCAGCGCTGCCTCGTGCAGGCTCGCCAAGCACGTAGGATGGCTGCAATGTGTGTGAATCTAATCAATTTGCATGCCGGTTCAAACGGCTACATAGCCATCGATCACGACAGCAGCTGTTGCTCAAGAGCACCAAGAAAAACAGAGACTTAGCCTCATTGCCTGGATGTGGCCGCCAGGCGATGGACTTCGACGACTCACCGCTGCTGCAACTTCCACACGTGAGGTCTTCAAAGCGCTTGCAACGCTGTTGTGCTCGCACACGGATCATGATTAAGGCAAAAAGGTTACAACTGCAACAATGAAGCAGGTCTGTACCTGCAAATCCTCCGACGCTGCGGGAGGAGTGCACGCAGTTTCAGTCATCATGCACTAACCAACCAAGCACTTGGCAAGCAACGGCAGCTGACCGACACAGCCATCTAAAGCTGCGTCTTCTGAAATCGCAGGTTGTGGAATCGTGTGGCGAGCCGTCCCTTCTCCGGCGAATTGGCAACTTCTCCACAGAACAGGTGCGAGAGCTGCCCTCCGTGTTCATGTGCAGACTACAAGCATTTTGCTTTGTCGACCTCGTTCCGCTCCTCTCGTCGGATTACTTTATCCCGTCATCAGAGCAGGCTGGCTGCGACGAAGGAGATATCTCTGAAGAGAAGAGCTCCAAGAAGAGCTGACAGATAGTTCTGTGAAGAGTGTTTGTTTCACGGCCGGAAGCACTACGAGAGGCTATGAACCACTTTTCGAGCATCGTACTCGTAGCAGAAAGGCTTAATTTGGCCGAGACTATCCAAAGAAGCAGAAAGATGATCCAACAGCAAATGATCGAGATGTGTGAATGCACAAGCAAAATCGTATGTGAACAAGGTCGGTGAATTGGATGATGTCCGAGGCAAGAGATGCGAACCCCAAATCTGTCTGGTCGGCACAGAGGTGAACAAGAGGCAGGAATCGCATGATGACTTGGGTCATCACACAGGGTAGATCAAAGCACACGCCCAGCCCAAGGCCCAGGCTTTTGAGGGACAGTAGTCAGTAGCCAAAAGATCGGCTTGCGAGCACACAAAACCATGCTGACAGCGATCATGTGGCCATCGAACTCGCATGGTTTGCTCATGCCTGACAAAAGCAACAACAAGCCTTTAGTGCATGCATTCACACATTCGAAATAAATGCACAGCGTTCAGGAGCCGTTGCGGTCGTGCTTCATTTGAGCGAGGCTTTCAAAAGCCCTTGCCAATCGGAGCATTCGGAGCCAAAAGAAGTTTCTTGTAGGGCTTGTAAGTGTCGTTTCTATGACCTTCCTGTCAACTCTCCGACACTTGTCTGTTTGAAGGTCTTGGACATCCAAGCCTTCTGCAGACACGCCCCCCTCGTGGAGTTAAGCTACGTGGTCGAGGCCGTGAGAGATTGTGGATGTTTCGGGATCTTGTCCCATTCGTGAGCAGGTTAACGACGAGCCGGATATGGCAGAGGGAGACCTCGGTACCCTGAAAGCCTTTCTGGCAAGCTTTGCCTCTGCTTCATGCTGTCGATGGAGGGGTGTGGATTGATCGAAGCTGTGAGCTGGCGATCGACGAATGATATCTGGCTTGTGAACTCAGAGCAAGCCGATTGGTTTAGTTTTGTGCTGGCTTGAATCATGTTCGTGGGTGTCCACGAAAATCAAGCCTACGGCCTACGGATGATGGGTTTGAAGAGGGCTTTTTCAGCGATGAGTGGTTCGGCGGGTTCGCATGAAGCAACGCCTGCCGCCAGATCACCCTCACGCGCACGAACTTGGACGCGACCGAAAGTGTCGGTGCAGTTCATGCGCCTTTATTTCCAGGAGTGAAGTTCGAGGCCAGGTCTGCTTTCGAGATGGGCTGCAATGTCAGGTACAAAGCCCCTTTTGTACCCAAGCCTGCACGTTGCTACTTGCCAACATTGAAACACGGCTAGCCGCTAGTGGCTGCTATACGAAATCTCAGTTGGCATGTGGAGCGTAGTGCAGGAATGGTGGTTGCTGGTCTACGACAATCGTGGTCGAAGGACCATCACAGCACCTTTGCAGTGTCAAGCTATGCCAAGATGCAGTCAAAGCTAGGTTTGCCACGTTACATGAGCAGACTGCTTCGCATGTGCTCTTCGCCGGGCATTTGTGCTGTCGCGTGCTCCTTCAGGATGATCGCGACAGACCTTGTTTTGGGCACTGGCAGAGAGTGCAAGAGCAATGTGACATTCATCGCCGGGGCCCCAGGTGATCGCCCATTTCGTTCTGACGAGCCCCGCCGCATCATTCGTTACTTAGTCATAGGTGTCATTTGTCAGGCACCAGGGACCCACATGTCTTTGGACTCAAGTGGTCACTGTCTGGAGAAGCCCAGAAGCTCCGTCAATTGTGGTTGGGTGTTGCTGTCCTTCAATTGTGCGCCCGTGTGGGCGATGTTTTTTTTGTCAGAAGCTCTTTCGACACAATGTGGTGACACCAGAACTGTTCAAGTCTAATCTTACACATTGCAGCGGCATCAATTTGAGGGTACGATGCCGCGAAACCCGTCAGCACTCCAACACCCCTATCGATGTCCTACAGTACACTGCAGCGGCAGTCTCGGAGCCCACATCTGCATGAGACATCGGCAGTCACCGCTTGCATCTTCACCCTTTTCCCAAAAAGCATTGCTAGCTGCTAGCTCCACTGAATCATACCACCAGGTTCCACGTCCCGGCGACTTCAGCTGGACTGTTTATGCAATGTGCGACTCCTATGCAGGCCGTGGTCACGAGTTAGAACATATCAGACTGCTTGTCCCTGAGTCCTCTGCCAAGGGTACGTGCGACTTGAGTTCTGCAGAACCCGGGCACTGGTTCGTGAATCTTACCGCCCGACTTCGCTAGCCTGCTCCCTCAATAGACTTGCAGGCCTAGACGTGCAGTGCGACGTCCACTTCCGGGCTGCAAAGAAGAACGAGGTGGACAGGCCATCCTGGCACGACTCGATTCAATGGCCGGCTTGGGTAGGGTAAGGGCAGTAAGAGTGCTAGGAACTCCTGGACTGTAAAAACACAAATCCACGGCGGTTACAGTACTTTCGGTTTGGGGGCAGTTATTTGCTCCTGTTGTTCTTGCAGTTTACAAAGATAATGGGTGTTGGCGTCACCACTTACGCCACATTGCTACTTCCGAGACCCAGGATAGAATTACAGCTGCAATCCTCGTCCCTCCCATGACTTGGTAAAGCTGAATGCGCTGTTTTTGCACGTTCCATTCTTCGCCGGCGCACAAGGCACTGCAAGCGTGCCCAAACTTTGTCAAGCTGTGATGCCCGACGCGCAAGAGCTCCCATGCCAGGTAAGCACGCGAGACATCGCGAGACCCTAGTTGCAGTCGCAATCGTTGTAAATATCATTGCTGCGTGTGCTACTGCGATTGCCATTTCGTTTGTGTGAGCGCCCTTCGTGGTTTTTGTAGCTGCTGTAGTCGTTCAGTTGCTGCAGCGGTTGTGCATGTAGCAGACCCACAGCTCTAGAGGCAATGGTTGCAGCAGTCATCACAGGAAATACCTTGGCAAGCCATTCGGCTAGAATCGAAGAGAACATCATGACAAGAAGACTGCGAAATGCTGCACAGGTCCATCTTCGTCCATCCAGAGGCTTCGGAGACATTCCGCGTTGAGCTTCTTCTTTTCGTGTCAAATTTCCAGGAGTTACGAGGGATTGGCGGGCACTTTGCAGCCAACTAGCGTAGATGGACCTCTGTGTGTCTAGCTTCGTTGCATCAGAGCGCCCCTTGTTGTTCAGTCTTTTTGCATGGGCGGGTACAAGGTTTTGTCTGCAAGATTTCTAAGGTACGACTCGCAATGAGCACGAATCGAGAGAGACTAGGGCTTGTCTCCACCAGTTGCGGATAGAGGTTGGTGGAGCAACGCGAAGAGTATGTAAAGATACTGGCAGGTGAAGAACAGGCACGCACACTGCGCCCTGGCACATGGTGCATGTGTATATCTACGTATCCATCCATCAATCCTGCTTTCCGTCCATGCATGCATCCATCCATCCATGCCTCCATCCCTCCATCCGTCCATCTGTCCATCCGTTCATCCGTTTTATCGCTATCGATCTACATAGTCTACATATCGATCTATCGATCTATCTATCCATCTAGCTATCTATACTAGGCAGATGTGCGTGCTTCGTACGTGCCTTGTGTTTGCATCTTGTTTATGAAAGTTAGCGCGGGGGCAGAGGGTCCCGCAAAAAGTTCTTGTATGGGTTCTATGAGTCTCAGGGTTTTGGGCCTGAGGACTTCAATTTTGAAATTCCAGGTCTCCCCGGATTCCTGATCTCGGGCACATGGATCTCCATGGGTTTAGGGTTTTTGGGGCAGCTCAAGGAGGGTTGGCAGATTAGTGCTCTAGGAAATGGTTTCGGGGAGAGCGTTCGTCTCTGCGATGTATATCAGCTTAGTTAACGATTGGAGACACCACGGCACCATTCACCTGTCTTCTCTCAGGGGTCCGTGGCCAATCTAACACCGTACGTCCAAACCCAAACACTGCTGAGCCATTCCTGAAACAGAAAGCACCAAACCGTCCAGAAACCCTTGGTGGGGCATGGTGGGGCGGGGCCGGGTGGGAACTGGTGGGTACCAACTCCTACATGCAGCGGTGGGGGTGCAGGCAGGAATTCCAACACGGATGGGTTCCTAGAAGTATCATTATATACGTGGAGACACATACATATAATATGTAAAACAGCTTTCAATCGATCAATTACTCAGTCACTCAGTCGATCAATCAATCAACCAACCTATCAATCAATGAGTCAATCAAGCAACACAGTGGTTATCACAGGTCCTAGCATTGTGGCTACGGTCGCCAGGTATTTACCTGCCAGTTCTCGCAGGTTGTCAGCGGATGCTCCGACGCACGACACAGACATATATCTATATCTATATCTATGTCTATATTCATATCTGTATCCATATGTATATCTATATCTGTATCTGTATCCGTATCTATATGTGCATCTCCATCTGTATCTATATCCAAACCGATATCTGTATCGACATCTGTACGTAAATCTACATCCAGAGCCACATTACCCGATCAGTATCCACATCGACATGCCGTACTGCACCGTATCAGTTTCTGCTTTTAACAATATATCAAGTTACATGAGTTTTTTCACATCACATCACATTACGTTATGCCCATATCATTTTTTTGCATTCTCCCCTACCGTGTTATATATGAATGTATGTGTGTACTCCTGTGTATGTATTGATGTATGTGTGTATGTTTGTGTGTGCATGTATGTATGAATGTATGTATGCATGTATGTATTTATGTGTCTACGCAATGTGTATATGCGTGTGTTGTGTGTTGCGTGTATGTAAGTGTATCTATCTATCTATCTATCTACTTATCTAAGTGTTTATGTTACGTGTATGCATACATGCGCGTGTGTATATATAAATATACATACAGACTTACGGAGACACACACACACTTGACACATCGTGTCGCAGGTCTGATCAGTCAGTGCATATTGCCGGAAGCTGTCAGGAGAAGTCAGAACATGCAATCTGAAGTACTACCATAGGACAAACGCGAATCACTCATGTAACTGCACATGATACTGCACATGAAACTGCACTGCACTCCTACCCGCAATCAACAGTTGTGTGGTCACAAGCTGCACAAATGTGCCCATGCCGACCACTGCAGGTACGTTTACCTGTCTCAATATCACGGAGCTTCATTGGCAGAGGCCGTGAAATGAGACCCTCTGCCCCCTGCTGCCTAACTCCCTCACGTCTCTTGGAAACAGAGTTGGACACACACAAGCCCCGAAGGGCTCTGTGCAGTGTTGATAGTCGTTGCGCGCTGTTTTTCTCACGGATTTTTGCATCAAAACGTCTTGTTCTTGGGAGATCTAGGAGAGTGGGCTACGAAACTTCAGGAAACGCAGTCTGTACACTAAGTGTAATTCGACTTCGGCTTCTTCTGCATCAGAATCGAAGTACATGCAACACTGAGTTGCAGTTTGGTATGCAGTATTGGCCAATGACACGATACTCACTTGCAAACGCTCCTGTGCTAGGTCTACCACAGCCCGCATCCACCGTTTGGAAATGCTGCCCAACATAGTGCAGGCCACGGCATTGATTTGAACAAAACGTATGGTGGTATGCAAAGACTGAAAACCCATGGTCAACTCAGCCGAGGAGGACAGCCGAAATTCTGGTATCCCACGATGCAAGAACGTGTACGCCACCATGGTTTCGGTTATGGGTTGTGCCTCTTCCGGGTCGTCATTTCGATCGAGGCGGGTAATGAATGTGATTCTGGCTCTGATCGGCAACAGGTACGTCAAGAAGTTCTCGAGCACGTCAGAAGCGGCCCAATCCATGCTGTTCAGAATCTACAAAGCTTCCAGACTGCTTGATACAAAACTCTATTACATGTCTGATGAAAGCAACTCACAAAACCGCAGAACTTGCACATCCCTGACATGTCTCTCCGCACATTTCCTGGACAGCACTTGCACGTACCTCGCACGTCCCTTGCACATCACTTGCAATCCGCTTGCATATCCCTTGCTCATCATTTCTCTTGACACACAGCAGTGGTGGACTCTTTTTAAACCGTCACCGCTCTCTTACTTTCGGTCTAAGACGTACTGCACAAGTTTCAAAGTAGAAGAAAAACGCTTCCTAGGGCCTTGCTTTTCTTTAGCAATGCGTTCCCCATGTTGTCTCAGGAAATCGAGAATAAATTGGGCTCTGTTGTGGATGAAGAAGTCGTCACCAAGCACTCTCGTGCCTTCCATTCTGCGGCGAAATTGGGCTCTGGGTGCAGGACGAATCTTGATGCGCGCACCATCAGAACCTTCATCAATCATACGAAGCTTGCGTTTCCGCGGCGGGTCAATCTTCAACATGTTGGTGTGTTCTGCAGCGGACCGGTTCGACTTTGAAAACTGAACTGATCGACCAGGGGACATTGACGTAGACTGTCGGCCAAGGAACGATGACCCATTCGAACTCTCATGATCAAGGACGAAATCAGCCGAATCAGGATCACTGACCAAGGTAACACCTGAT